CATCATTACTTTTTCTCTCATCAAAACTTTCTCATCTTATTATCATGTAACTTCATATGATCATCTATATTGTCATGTATGATATGCCTCTTGGAAGAATAAATAAATAAAAATAAATAAATAAACCATTGACCTTAGCGACCGACCAATCAAATAACGTATTCTTAAAATAACTTCATTAGGTATGCAAAAACACACTCGCTTGTAATCGCGAGAATATCCACGACCGATTACGGAATATAGTATATACTGTCTCGTTATTATTGTCGACCATTTATCAATGATGTAGCTTATTGCTTATTCGCCCCCATAATTGTCGATCGTTAATACATGTTATCTTTTTAAAAAAAAACATGTTATAATATTCGGGCGACTGGTTTATATCATGCTGTATTTTTTAGACGACTATCGATTTCCCGAAACTTGAACCGGTTTGTAGGTAAAACCGAACCGACTCCGACTAAACCGACTAATCGTCAAACCCTTACTTTAGTTACAACTTACAAGGTCATCCATCAGATTAAAGCAATACGCCTAGCATACCATCAAGGAAGTGTATAGTATTAATATTAATGAATTGAACTGTAACAGTTATAGCTGTAAATACATGTCTTAAAGTTTAAGGATGTATCATGTTTAAAAAGACAACAATGTGTAGTATATTTATAAACTAGAGTGCAATAAGATTAAACTATATTGTTATATCTGAATAGTGTAATATAAAAAACATTAAAGATACATTCCCACAAAAGTATATATCGGATGGCTATTTCCTATAAAAGTATGGCAAATTGTCGCATATTTTTACTTTTTTCGGTAATGAAAAATTTATAATACATTAAAATTTGATTAAGAGTAACAACTCATTAAGTAATTATCAGAAAACCATTAGAATTTGTTTGGTAGTTCTGCCCCATGCTAACGTTTAGTATACAAACTTTAACATCATGGATTTAGCTGTTCACGTCATAAAAATTCATTGAAAATCAATATACTTGTTCGTCTCAAGACCTTAAACTCTGTATCAATCTGAAGTCAATCGGATGATAACTTTAGCCTCTAGAGCGTCACAAGATTTTTCAAAGTGATCATGGGCCATAACTTTGGCAGTAATTATCGGAAATCGCTGAAAATCAATACCTTAAACACTGTGTATCAATCTGAAGTCAATCGGATATTAACTTTAGCCTCTAGAGCATTTACAAGATTTTTTGAAGTGATCAAGGGACATAACTCTGGCAGTAATTATTGAAAATCGCTGAAAATAAACAGACTTCTTTGTCTCATGACCTTAAACACTGTGTGTAAATTTAAAGTCAATCGGATATTAACTTTAGCCTCTAGAGCGTCCACAAGATTTTTCAAAGTGATCGAGGGCCATAACTCTGGCAGTAATTATCGTAAATCGCTGAAAATCAATAGGCTTCTTCGTCTCAGGACCTTAAACACTTTTTATAAATTTAAAGTCACTGAAAATAAATAGACTTCTTCGTCTCATGACCTTAAACACTGTGTGTAAATTTAAAGTCAATCGGATGGCTCTAGAGCATCCCCAAGATTTTTTGAAGTGATCAAGGGACATAACTCTGGCAGTAATTATCGGAAATCGCTGAAAACCAATGATTAATCGTCTCATGACCTTAAACACTGTGTATATGTGGAAAGTATAGACGCTCAATCTTACTAGAAAAATACAGGATTACCCATGGGGCAAACACTGGGCAAAAATGTCAGGGTACCACTAACTGGCAACCCAACGTATTGTCTGCCAGCTTGACTTAGGTATCGGCTGTTATTTCTTGATCGAATAGTTAGGCGGTTTGGGGAACATTGAGGGATGTAAACGTAGAACAGATTCTGCAATTAAACAGCGGAAAAAGAAGTTGACAGAAAATAATTCAAGAATTTCAATATGCATGGTAAATGGTCTGTATGTAATGACAAATACATTCTGAAAAATGGGCAATCCCTCAGTCAAGTTAGGTGACAAACATGGATTCTAAAAAAAAAAATTTTATAGCTTGGGGTATCTCCTTGCGTATACAAAGTTTTGAGAGGGATTTGAAGCAAATGTTTAATATATTAATTAGTTTGAATATGTTTCAGTTCAAATATATCATCATATCCCACAGTTTGTACACCGGGTAGGTATCTTTAAATGAACCCGGCTGTAATTTTATACCTTTCAATACTGGTCTTTCTTTTCGGTAAATGAATTAAATATGGAAAATATTTGAGCAGGTCTATTTTTGATTATTTTTTATGGTAATCATATATATATTAGCCAACTGGTATTAGTAATGCGATATGCTACATAACAAATGTGAGCCCCTATCTTACTACTTAGACCTCTTTTGACCCAATGCTGGGCCGGTTCATTTGAAAATGGATTAAAGATGCATTATGGAAGAATTCTACTAAAGAGCTGACAGTTCTTATTATATACTATTCAAAAAAAGTAGGGGATATTTGATTTTGGGGGCATAATACTAAAATATGCAAATGACTACGAAAAAAGTCACTATAGAACCTAACAGAAGAAACATTTCCAGTTACATGTGACGCCCAAACGCACCAATAGCTACCGCATGGAATGCAGGTGATGCTTGGGATCATCATGGGGGTCCAACCCAAGATTTGCACGACTCTGACTTTGAATGTTACAGTCATTGTGGCATTGAATTCCAGGGTGGAAACATCAGTTTAATTGTTTTAGTGACCAGAAAACAAATTTTGATATGCGTCGGCTTACCCAAAATGAAAGGTTACGTGCCCTTGGCATGCTACAGATCGGCACAACACAGGCGGTTGTGGCGCGGACGATGAATGTTTCTCAGTCTGTCATAAGCAGGCTATGGTCCAGATACCGTGATACACAATCTGTACAGGACAGACCACGCTCAGGTCGACCAAGGGCGACAACTCAAGCCGAGGATCGATTTATCCGTACCTTGGCCTTGAGAAATCGTGTCATCACAGCAAATCAGATCAGCGCTCGTCTTCAAACAGACACTGGTGTGAGAGTGAGTGGCCAGACGATTCGGAATCGACTGCATAGGGGTCACCTTCGCGCCCGACGCCTCTTGTGATCCCTTGTTTGAGAGATCATCACATTCAGGCAAGACGTCGTTGGTGTAGGGATCGTCAACACTGGGATAATCGACGCTGGAGCAATGTGATGTTTTCAGATGAGTCAAGGTTCACTGTTGATTTTTTTGACAGACGTAGGAGGGTGTGGCGTCGTCGAAACGAGCGCTTCCAAGACGTTAACGTCATCAGACATGATCGATTTGGGGGTGGTTCTGTTATGGTGTGGGGAGGCATCACTGTTGCTGGAAGAACGGCTTTACATGTTGTTGCAGGGCGTGTTACAGGCCAGTACTACCGGGACAACATCTTGGCAGTCCATGTTGTGCCGTTCGCACGACGTCATGGCCGCCGTTTCATCTTCCAGGATGACAACGCAAGATGTCACAGGGCCAGGATCGTTACAGGTTACCTCCAACAACAGAACATCACCACATTACCTTGGCCAGCACTGAGTCCCGACCTCTCCCCCATCGAGCATGTCTGGGACATGCTTGGACAGAGGTTACGTCAACGTCAACAATGTCCTGCTAATGTCCAAGAACTTGCTGCTGCGTTGCAACAGGAATGGGACAATCTGGACCAAAATGACCTTAGACGTCTCATTAGGAGTATGCCACGTCGGATCAATGCTTGTTTGGCAAACAGAGGAGGATTTACCCGTTACTGACTTGGTTGTGATGCTGTGGTAACTTTGCTGTTTGACCCCGGGTATCATTTTACCCTTATAATGGTCAGTCTGTGCCTTACTTAGTCTAACGATCATTTGGAATAAATCGATGAATGTGAACTTCATTTCATTTTGTCATTTGATTCTTCGTCAGTTTCATTAGGTGACTTTAATAACACTTAAAAATCAAATATCCCCTACTTTTTTTGAATAGTATAGTATAATAGTTAACCAGCGGTTGCTATGCAAGATACACCCACATTTGGCAAGATATGGATAGAGAAAGCGCTGATAGTTCTTGCTATAGTATAATAGTTAAAAATTAGATAATGAAAAGGGAATATATTGAAAACTTCAGTCAAATTATATCAATCTTAGCAATGTTATGGCTGTTTTTATGATAATAAAAAAAGTCTCAATTATTTATTTTTTAATTTCAGTCAAATCATATCAAATTGAGCCATGTTATGGCCAAATGAAGAATAGTGTGGTCTCTTGTCATTGCAGCTGTTTTTATGATAATAAACAAAGTCTCAATTATTCATTTTTTAATTAAATTATTACCCGACGATTGTGTTTAAATCCACTGAAAATCACAACCATCTGATGCTCTTGATAATTGATTATGGGCTTGAATATATGTCTAATTAATGATTTGAGGCCAAACGATCGATTTGCAAAACATGTAGGTGGATTTAGCTCTGACATAATGCATCTTTAAGAATGTTGGTTTAAAACTTCAAGATACATTATGTAAGATTTAGATAAAGAACTAGCCATTCTTGCTATAATAGTTCGAAAGTAGATTATGTAAAATGAATAATTTGAAAATTTCATTCAAATTACTCTATTGCAAGCGAAGATATTAGCCTTTGAAGGTTTGACAGACGTGTGCAATAATTTCAACCACCGGTTGATCGAAGCTAAGTCTCGGTCCTCCATATTTGATTAAAATCAAAGTATCGCTGAACCATTCTAATCTATTTAATATTGGTGAAATCTGATGCCATCGAGAGTTGATTAAGGCCTGGATCAGTTAATTAATGTCTAATTAATACTTTAGAAAACATTTCAGGCCTAAAGAAAGACCTGCAATAGGCAGATTTAGCTCTTGCATAATGCATGTTTAAGTAAATGTATCGTGTTTCAAAAGTTTAATAATATAACACTTTGATAAAGATGCTATGAGATCAAAAAACAATTAGCAGCTCTGATTAATAAAATAATTTGATAATTAACGAACCTTATTAAATACACCACGACCAAAATAATCGGCAACAATAGAAAATCCATCAGGCGCTCGCTCTAATTGGTTGTGGAAACTTTCATGGATGTCTTTTGTTTGTTCTTGTGCTCGGATAATATCCATAATTTTTCTAGAAAAAAAAAAAAAAATGTAATATTTAATGGTTTTTGCTATATTAGGGTGCCACACCGTAAATAAATATCTCCAAATATCTCGACAATTACACCACAATATTTATATATATATATACCAATCCTTAAATCTGTTTGGCACATATATAGTCACTAAATAAACGGCCATGTTGTACTTAATAAGCTATGACCATTTAATCATCCATAAATAATACACTGATAGATGGTTCCGAGTGTCGGCCATAACATCCGAGCGCGTGTGAGTAAAAAATAGGTTACGTGCCCTTGTTTTGAAAGTAGTCTCGCTTAACCAGGCCATTCTACGTTTGATTAACAGGCCGGGATAATCAAGACTACTTTTTTATGAAACAGAAAGCTGGAACAATAAATTGAATTTAGAAACACGCACGTTAGCCAACTCAACAATTATTGTTTTAAGAACCCTGTAAAAGTAAAATGAAACTACTGCTGTCCTTGCAAAATTTCCCTTTATAGCACATTGCATGGGGTATGACTGGCTTCATGGAAAGGTATGTTATAAAGATGCAAAGAATACAATTGATTGCTGCAGTCACGACAAATCAATTTTATTAAACTAATATAATACAATGATTAGAATAGCCTACATTAGGACATGATTTCCCAGTCATAATTTGAACCTACCTATTTTCAGGTGCACATACTGGACATTCATTATCATTCTCAGCATAACTTTCAAAACAACTGAAACACAAAACAGAATTTTTTTTATAATTATACGGTAGGGCTATAGTTTCAAAACAACTCTAATAAAAAAAAAACATTCAAAACACTAAACATAATTAGGGTGGCACACCATAAATAAATATCTTCAAATATCTCGACAATTACACCACAATATTTATATATACACCAAGTCCTAAATCAGTTTCACACATTTATAGTCACTAAATAAACAGTCATGTTGTACTTAATAAGCTATGACTATTTAACATCCATAAATAAAAAACTGATAGATGGTTCCGAGTGTCGGTCATAACATAAAATAGGTTACATGCCCTTGTTTTGAAATTAGTCTCGCTTAACCAGTCTACCGACCATTCTACGTCTGATTGACAGGCTGGGATAATCAAGACTACATTTTTTTACGAAACATAACAGAAAGCTGGAACAAGAAATTGAATTTAGAAACACGCACGTTGGGCAACTCAACAATTGTTTTAAGAACCCAGTAAAAGTAAAATGAAACTACTGCTAGTATCATGTTCTTGCCTAACGCGATATTATTTGTACTAAACCAAAATATGCCACTCGTAACGATACAGTTAATGATAAAGCAATTTAAAAAATAAAACGAAAGTAATTTCTAAAGCTGCTGTAATAACCAAAAAGCTAAATATTACTGCTATTCAGAATCGTCAACAATAGATATTTTACGGCTGTAATACTTGATAGAGGTTAAGAATTGCATGTGCGATGGCTATTTATAGTCTCATATACTCTAGCGCTGAGTATTATCATACTGCGTAGTTAGCGAGAAATCACTTCGAGACAAGCCACTGAAGCGTGCACATTCGCCATGTCGAGTCCAACTTTCTCTACAGAAAATTTTCACTACACGGGTCACCCTAACATAACAGTGTTTTAAACAACTGTTACAGATTCTACAACTGAAATACAAATTAAAACAGTCAAATTGTTATATTTATGCAGTATTGTTTCAAACATTGAAATACAAAACAGACATACATATTGTTATAGTTTCAAAACATTTGGAATTACACACAAAACTAGACAACATCTATACAAAAACATCAAGTGAGATGGATTTTGATAAGAATTGCAAAATGGACAGTTTTTGTAGGTTTTTGAGACAATAAGTGTGAAAGATCACCCAAAATGTTATTTACTCTATGTATTTACTAGACAGATACCTGGCTTTGCACGGGGCCAAATTTAGGCCAGGGTTCAAATTTGTCCGGAGCCCAAATTTGATAGCCTAAAACATTCATGGGGGTCATGCTGGTTAACTTGATACCACATATGTGGGGGGTGGAGCACTGTGACGAAGCGTTATTCGCCCGGGGCCCATATTCGATGGCCTAAAACATTCACAAGGTGACGCTGGTTAATTTGATACCACACATGTGGGGGTGGATCGTAGTGACAAAGCGTGATGGGCGAACATACATGCATACACACTTTGATTTTATTTATATAGATAGATATGTTGTAACCTACTACGACTGTACGTGCAAATAACCTCCGGTTCAGAAGACACATGAGTGACACCATTTTTGTATCTAATTAATAAGTAAATTTAATATTACTTACTGTTGATGATAGGAATGTGGTTCACACAGGAAATGAACAGAAGGTAATTCTAATGGATGATTACAGATATTGCATTTAGAGGCCTGGAAGATTTTAGCCCTGTTAATAGATAAAAACAAAACACTAGAGTTAATCACTTAATTTGTATAAATACGGATTTCTGGCAATCTATTATTCTCAAAAATAAGAAGATGACACTCACATTTATATTTTCATAAATCAAATTTCTTAACACTCGGCTTAAACTGAGTAGGAAATGGTCTTTATCGAAGTCAGTTAAAGTATGTTTGTAATGATACTATTTTCATCACTCACAGGTAACTTGAATCAGACTCGAAGTTCAAAAATCATTCTCAGACTTAAGTTGAGAATTTCCTTAACTTACAATCACTGTTTATGAGAAATTTATTTAATCCAGAAACACAAAATTTGGCACACAGTTTCTTATTAATGTATTTGATACATTAAAACAACAAAAGTTTAATAAAAGGCTATATTTTAGTTAAAATAAGGCAAACCATTTTGAGTAAATTCTTAACTTAAGTCTGGGAGTGCTATGTGAACTTAGGGCCAGAGCTGTTGTATCCCACCGAAAATTTGCATTCCATAGAGCTATTGTTTACCAAAAGGTGATCGGGACGGACAAACCCATTTTTATACTCCCCCGCTTTCTCCAAAGGCAGGAGAATAAAACTGATTTTAGGTCTGAACCGGGTTCATCGAAATATATTAGGCTATCTTAAAGTTCATGCAACACAAATTAAATGAAATATTCACAAATGTTTGCACAATATAGAGAGAAAGTGACAGAGCAAGAGAGAGGAATGGGGTTTAACTACACACAAACTATGTCATATCGGGACTAACATATGGTTCAATTTTATTTCAATAAATTGCTTGGATGTTGGGGGTCTTTAGCAGTGGAAGAAAACCAGAGGACCCGGAGAAAATCTATGATGTTAAACAGGTGTCCTTACTCCTGATCAAGTACAAACGGGGAATCGAAACCACACCACTTGACTCAATGACAGACCTTATGATCCAACCATTCAGCCACCCAACCCATCTTGAAGCACAATATGGACATATTTGAATATACAACTTTTCTTCTATCCAGTCATGGGGGGGTTAGATGGTCGGATGGTTAGCACGTGCAGGCTGTATTATGAGGCCTGTTATTGAGTCAACTGGCGTGGTTTCAAATCCCCTGTTGTACGTGAAAAGGAGCAGGGTTGCCTGTCCAACCTTGTGGGTTTTCTCCGGGTCCTTCGGTTTCCTCCCACTGCTAAAGACCCCTATGTGCAAGCGATTTATTGAAATAAAATTAAACCATATGTTAGTCCCGAAATGACCTAGTCTGTATCAAGTTAAACCCCATTTGTCTCTCTCATGAAATGAAATGGTGTTTAACGTCCTACTGTTCTGCTCCTATACTGGGCTAATGAAGACGGGCATACGCCATACAGTGTGCTATGAGGGAAATTTTGCTCGGGCAGCGACACCATCGCCTACTCTTATATCGAATTCCAACTGCCAAGGGATCATTTACGTGCATTCCAATGTATACACGGGACCTCGGTTTTTCATATCATCCGAATGACTAGACAGCTGTCCTTGTCAGGCCCTCCGTCCTGCATCACTGACAAGGGGGAACCACGCCGGAAAATCTCAATCCAGTCACAATATCACATATAACAAATCAAATGTTGATTTTACTATTCAAATATTCTACATCATTATTTGAATGTTAATCGAATATTCGATTTAATTGAATCTTTGGGACAGTTTTTGTCGCTTTTATAGAAATCTACAAAACTTACGATGTTTTTAGTTCTTCAATTTGAACCCGTTTTTTGTCTGTGTCATCACGATATTGTTTTATTAATCTTTCATCTTCAGTTATCTGATCATTCTCATGTTGAAGACGACGAATAATATAATCCTATAATTAACAAAAAAATATATTTCAAGATACAAAATATAGAACACTCATATACATATTCAAAAATTGAATTCACTCCAATTTCGGGCAACACGGCATACATCAAATTGAATATAATAATATCTCCAGCAATACCCTACTCACAACATTATCAGAATTCCGAACATTACACTGTCGCCCTGCCGAACCATTCACTTAATGTTTTTTTCCTTGCAATGTCTATGTAGTTTGTCTTGTTGGGTTTTTTTTGTGTGTAGTGTGGTTCTCCTGTGCTTACCATTGAGAACCCCCATTATGTTTTCAATAATTATCTTTGTATCTTAACCATGATAGACGATTTCATTAATAATATAATTATGTTATTCTTTGAGTATTCTATAAATCACTACTGTATAAGTAATATTAGTTACCTTGACAACAGACAGAGTTGCTGTGGAATTATGGGCTAGTGTCTGTATAACCAACAAGGGAGGTAATAAATTGCGTCTGTCAATTTCTGATTATGTTGTTAAAGATTATAATTTGATCAAATTTAAACAAAAGTCATAAATAAATAATTTTTACACTTTTATACATTCATTTTTAAGGTCTGATACTGAAAGCTATAAGCAATGAAGAAAATGTTTTGCAAGATGCAGGGTTCTTCAACCATGAGGGAATCACACACAGATGGTAAGTATGGCTTAGGCTTTTTAAGCAGGGCTGTTCACGTGGCTAATTGGGTAAGACGCTGGCTCACTAGCCTGGAGGCTAATTGGGTTAGACGCTGGCTCACTAGCCTGGAGGTCGGGTGTTCGATCCCTGCATTGGTCGAGAAAGTTCATTCAGATTTTCTGGCGTGGTTTCACCTTGTCAGTGATGCAGGATGGAGGGCCTGACAAGGACAGCTGTCTAGTCGTTAAGATGGGACGAAAAACCAAGGTCCCATGTACGCATTGGCGTGCACGTAAAAAATCCCTTGGCAGTTGGAATTCGATATAAGAGTAGGCCGTAGCACCGCTGCCCGGGCAAAATTTCCCTCATAGCACATAATATGGCGTATGCCTGTCTTCATTAGCCCAGGTTAGGAGCAGAACAGTAGGATGTTAAACCCCATTTCATTTCATTTTTTAAGCAGGAGGTCCCAAGATTCATCCTGGTGTTAGCCAAGAAAGTTTGTTAGAATTTTCCCAACTGGTTACTTCCTGTCAGTGGTGTAAGACAGAGTGTTGGAGGGAAAAGTACAGACGTCAAATCCCTTTTCATTTCTTTAGCAAAAGGAATAAACAGAAAATCGTTACAAAGATGGGCAGCCATTACTACTCTCATTGCCAAATACGATTGTGGGATTCAAATCACAGTCCAACAAGTGACAGACCTACCCTCTGCAACATTTTAGACCACAAAGGCTTCAAACCACCCTGGCAGAAATAGGACTGATAACCCTATTTTATTCCCATTAATTTTAGAATGAATTAATGAAACTGGTTGTCAAGGATACGAGATAAGACTTCGATCAGTTGAGCTTTACAGCACTCTTCTTTACGGGCAAAATATGATAAAGCTTGAACCCACAGGTTTGGATCTTGTGCACTGTGGACAAAAAAAACCAATGTGCATTACATCAGACCATTTAATTTTTTTGGGTCTTGATTAATACATAACCAAACGAGTCTCATGAACTACATCAAAATTCAAAAAATAGAAACTCTAAGCTTTTCACCAAGTATTTTTTGCTTTTAAATTAGTTTTTTTTCCCCAAAGAAATTGGAAGTGAAGTTTTTAATAGGGATTCCTGAAGAATAAATATTCAAGTTATGCTGCCTTAATATGTGTTAAATTGAAAGATTCCTGGCCATACAAAAGTTATAGATTTATAGCTTTTCTTCTTTGATTGGCATTTAGTAATATAACATATTAACACAATGTATTATTTTATAGATACACAATTACTGAGTTTAATACTAAGCGACGTTTCGTCGCGGAAACTCTCATCTTTATCAAGCAAATGATACAGGTATATCAAAAGTAGGCAAATATATATTTTTGTAGCATACAGTAGAGTCTGTATGAGCAGCCACTCCTATTCAGCGACATCTCCTTGTAAGCGGTCACGATAAATTCTGTTTTTTCATCTCTTTATTCAACGGTCACTCCTCTAACGCGACCAGCGGTCACTATTTTACTAATAAATTCAACAAAACATCGCCCATTCAACGGCCATTGTTGAATGATACCATCTTGTCGTTCTTTGTAACACCCCCGCTAATCCCATGAGTTGTAGTTAATTAACTGGACCCCCACTGATCAGGTAAAAAGAAATGTAAAAATAACCCGGGATTATCTGTTAATTAATCTTTTGTTTTATTAAACGACTAACCTGATCATTGTTTTCACGCGTAATGACACATTGTTTGATACTGATTGAATAAAATAAAAGTACCGAGTTTTGTCTCGATCATCTAGTATCTTTTCCATTGCCACTTTGTTGTTAAACAGACGTTTTAGCGCCTCCTATAATATTACATAAATAGGTGGTAAAATCAGCGATGGTTTTTTGTTCATGTGCTTTTTTGATAAAATAAAATTTATTCATCGATTTTCTTCACAAAAATGGATAAATATTATCGAATGCATCACAATGGTAGACAGTAGCATTGAAGGTTAGTACAAAATGACAAGTTTACAGATTCCGCGACGGTCAAACTTACCGCTTCCAATGCATCCAAGCGTAATATTTAATTTATGTCAGCACAAAAAGCACCAAGATTTTATTAAGAGGTCACTCCCGTTAAGCGGTCAGTTGTGAAAATTCCCTTGGGTGGATGCTTAATGCAGATTCTACTGTATTCTGTATATATTTGCCTACTATTCACATAACTGTATCATTTGCTTGATAAAGACCAGAGAGTATCCTTGTTGAACCGTCGATTAGTATCAAACTCAGTAATTGTGTATCTATAAAATTGTACCTTGTGTTAGATTTATAGTTATTGGATTCAATAAGTAAAATGAAACTTACCCAAATTTTTCACAAGCTTGAATGACTAGAGTATATTCATTTTGTTCCATATGATATCGTAATATCTGTTGGTATCTATAAATATATATATATATATACATGTAATCATTATTTAACTCAAGCCAAAACTCTACAATATTCTTTCATTTGAAAATATAAAAATCCCCACTCAACAGTAGGACAAACAGATTTAAGTAGCAATAAGAAGAGGTTTATTCTTCATAACGTTTCGTGTGATATGACCCTTTTTCATTTAGGTCTACTCTCGCCGCCGGTATCATCATTTGATACAGCAGCTACGCAGATCTACCGGCCTGTCCAACCTCTATTACTCTTTCAAAAGAGTGTTGCTGTTCCACCTCCATTTTTCCTATTCTTTCATTTCTGACCATTCTAACCAACATTTAATATAGGTAGTACGTTTTGTTCCAATATGTTTATTCTTAGTAGAGTAATGCATAGATTGAGATTCTAGAGCAATGTAACAATAAAATATGGAAAATTAAACAAAATATTGGGGCCACGGTGTCTTGGTGAGAAAGTTCATCCGGATTCTCTGGCATGGTTCCTCCTGGCAAGGGACACGTATAGTTGATCAGTTGGGATGAAAAACCGAGGTTTTGTGTACACATTGGCGTGCACGATAAAGATCCCATGGCACGTTAAAAATCAGAAGAAATTTTCCCAGCCAAAACTGAAATCGAACCAGAGTTGTGGTTCTGATTTATTCATAAGTATCATTAATAATAATTATGTTAAATAAACTCTCTCAGCTGTGGTTCTGATTTATGCATAAGTATCATTAATAATAATTATGTGATCGAACTACTTACAGATGAGCTTTTTCATATAAATATAATATACCAGCTTTAAAGTTGTTCATCTGACATAAAATCAATGCTTGATCTATATTATATAACGACTGAAATATATAAAAAAAACATGGGTTGCCAGTAAACGAAACATAAAATCAGTGTTTATATTATATAGCAACTGAAAGATATACAAAATATTTTATACAAATCTATGAACTACCATCATTCAATTCTGAGATTTACTTCCCCAGATCATTGGGGTTTTTTTCTTGTTTTAAAGGGTATGGTTTACATACACAATGTAATGGAGGGGATTTTGCTCTGACAGTGGCATTTCAGCCTACCCTTCATTGATATACCAACAGTCAAGTTTTTTTTAATGTGCACTCTCATCCGAATCACATGGGAACAATTTTCTTGTCAGTCCTTAAAAAATACTGGGATTTCTTCTGAGCCAGCATTTGATTCTAACCTGAAACATTCTAGCCGAGGGTCAAGTACCTGTTACTGCAGCACTTGATTCGAACCTGAAACATACTAGGCGAGGATCAAGTATCTGAACTTGGACCATTCTAGTCGGGGGTCAAGTACACATTAACACTTGTTTTTAACCTGGAACATTGGAGTCAAGTGTCAAGTACCTGTTATCCCAGCACCATGTAAAAGATGTGCTTACTGTAGTTTATTCGAGTCAAGTGTCAAGTACCTGTTATCGCAGCACCATGTAAAAGATGTGCTTACTGTAGTTTATTGTAAAAAACATTTTGTGATAACAATCACTTACATCAGGATTCTTCAGTAATTCCAATGTTTTCTTTTCTCTCATTGTACGAGCCTAAAACACAACAATGATACAAGTTATTTTTAATTCCATCCATGGATCAATGACATCTGCAAAGAGAGTGACAGCTTTAAAACAGATCCAATAGTTTTCTCATGTTATAAAATGAAATGGGGTTTAACATCCTATACTATGATTCTGCATCAACTGGGCTAATGAGGACAAGTATACACCAACTTTACACAGGACCTTTTTTGTCCATCCGAACAACTAGACAGCTTTTCTTGTCAGACCCACCGTCCTGCACCATTGACAAGGGGAAACCACACTGAAAAATCCCAAGAAACTTTTGCGGCCAACACGGGGAGCAAACCCGAGACCTCCAGACTAGCGAGCAAGCGTCTTACTCACTGAGGCACCGTGTCTCACCTCTCATGTTATGAGATATAATTAGTTACTCACCGACTGATCTGTTCTATGAACCATATCATGTAAATATAACTCTAATAATGTATCATATACTAGTTCCGAGGAGTTGGGTTGTACCTGTAAAATAAAACAATCAAATATACATAAATTGTAACCAAGGCATAACATTCAAGTCTGGAAATAGTAGCATCTAACAAAATTTTATTTGGCACAATTAGAGTCGTACAAACTTAAACCCCAGTATGACAGAATAAATAGATAGAACTCAGTGACCACTAAATACCGCTCGGGTTATTCAATGGATCAAGAGAGTGTATCCCTCGAGTAGTATTCAATGGTCATTCAAGTCTAAAGGTTCAAAGCAAAATATAATATACATGCTTACTGTTATCATGTGTTCTAAAAATTCTGTTAGTTTCGTAGAATTGTTGACAAAAATATGGATGAAATCTTCTGCTTTGGCTTTCATTATCTGTGATCGACCACCTGGAAAAAAATAATAACATTTACTGATTATTATTTCTGTATTAAGAAACCGATATTCGATATAATTAGATTCATGGCAAGAAAATGAAATGAAAGGAAATGGGGATTTAACGTCCTACTGTTCTGCTCCAACTGGGCTAATGAAGACCGGCATATGCCATAAAGTGTGCTATGAGCGAAATTTTGCCCGGGCAGCTGCACTATCGCCTACTCTTATATCGAATTCAAACTGCCAAGGGATCTTTTACGTGCATGCTAATGTATACACAGGATCTCGTTTTTTTCGTCCTATCTGAACGACTAGACAGCTGTCCTTGTCAGGCCCTCTGTCCTACACCACTGACATGGGGAGGCAACGTTGGAAAATCAGGATGAACTTTCTCGGCCAATGCAGGGAGTCAGAGCCTTACCTACTTAGCCACTGTGGCTCCCCTACATGGCAAGAATAATTGGTGAATAATTCAAATCTTAAGTTATTTAAAACAATTTTTTAAAGCTTTACCTCTCCAAATAATTAAACTTCCTACTACTGTTCTGCGTTGACTGGTTTAATGAAGACAAGCATTAGTCCAGTTGGAGCAGAATAGTAGGACGTTAAACCCCATTTTATTTCATTTATTGTATTTCTTTGAATATAACTATATAAATTAGCTATTTGTATCGCATTCCAGTTTCTCGGAGTATACTAGCAGGATATGCTACTTAGCCCAGGGCCCAAATTCACTTAGTCTAAATTCCCCAGGGGTCCAATTCGCCTGGGCCAAAATTTGGCCACTGCCCATATTTGTTCAGGGCCTAAATTCTTCTGAGGCTCAAATTCCCCTGGGCCCAAATTCGATAGGATAAATCATTCACAGGGTCTTGCTGGTTAATCTGGTGGCGGCGACGAATTGTGATTCGTTCAGGGCCTTGGCCCAATTCTCCAGGCCCAAATTTGATGCCCTAAAACATTCATGGGGTCATGCTGGTTAATCTGATAGCACATATGTTGGGATAGAATGCGGTGATGAGGTGTGATTCTCCCAGGGCCTAGACGCAATTCGCCCAGAGCTTGCCCAATTCGCTTAGTAGGTTGGTAGAACTTACCTTCTAAATTTGAAGCATCAACTAATGGTCCTACAAAAACAAAATATTTTAAAATTATTACTGAATTGTTTTCTTGGTAATTGTGAATATTTGTTAAAAAATAATTATCAAATACTTTAATTTAAACAACCAAGCTAATAAAGATGTGAATATGTCATGCTGAATGCTATTAGTGCTGGATATTGCCACTGCAATCACGATACAAAACGTATTGGGTTCAGGTACTACGATACGATTTGTATCACTATTCCTGAAATGAAACGAAATCGGTTTGTGGGAATGTAGCTTCAATGGTTAATCCAGCACATTCTTCCTTGCCAGATCATCCACATTGCACCACTAACACAGAGAGAGAGAGAGAGAGAGAGAGAGAGAGAGAGAGATGGGTTTTAAGGTCCACTCAACACAAACTAGGTCATTTCAGGACTAACACATGGTTCAATTTTATTTCAATAATTCGGCTGCGCATCGGAATCTTTAGCAGTGGGAGGAAACCCTACTCCTTGTCACAACTGGGGAATCAAAAGCACGCCAGTTGACTCAATGACAGACCTTATGACACAACGCACACACCATTCACACACACACACCCCCACACCTGCACCACCGATAAAGCAAAGATTTTAAATAAACTTACTATCCACAGGTTTATAGTCTGTACATAAAATCTTCAATAAACTTGTCGTCTGTTCCGGTACTTGTGTCATCAATATTTTACCATATTTACGTAAATTATCTTCACACTTAAAACAAATAAATACAGCAAATTATTTCACTAACCTCAATAAAAACTCTGTATCTCTAAAATCATACGCTTAAATACAACAAATTCTTATAGTTAATATGGGACTTAATAAGTACGGAGATGTGGCAGTCAAACTCATTGATCAAATACGAAGAACAGAAGACAAATATGCAATCTGATTAAAACAAAGATCCTATTTGGTTTTGTTTTTTATAGTATCTGGAAGAGTGGTTATATTACCGGCGTTCTGGTTGAAGTGAGGGATTAGTCAATGAAACAGTCTGTGGTTAAACCACTAGAAGAGTCAACGCGGATTGACGTCATAGGGTAAAAAGCCACTCGTATGACCCCTGGTGTGACCTTCCAGTACAACCGATCTGGCCCCGAGTTAACAAAGCATTCACAGACTTAAGAATTTACTCAACTTTCAATCACTGTTGTTGAGAAATATCTTTCATCCAGAAACAAATAAGTATAAAAAGTAAAACGAAATATAGATCTGTATTTTAAAGATACATTATGCAAGAGCTAAATATGTGTATTGCAGGTCTTTCTTTAGGCCTGAAATGTTATCTAAATTATTAATTAGACATTAATTAACTTATCCAGACCATAATCAACTCTAGATGGCATCGTTAGCCTGCGATCTTAAGTGGATTGTGAGCCGATTTACTGCATAACTTTCCTTCTCGATTAAACGATTAAATGGATAATCGAGACTATGCTGTTTATCGTACTGACTTTAGTAATGATGACCGAGGCTAGGCAGAAATTTCATTCGCTTAGTTTTCGGTTCATAGTGGATCAATTTGAATGAAATTTTCAGCAAATTGCCTTTACGTTATCTAGGTTTTAACTATTATCGAATCTCCCATAATGTATCTTTAATCAGATTGAGTAACTCACCTCATCAAATTCTAATTTTCCGATATATTCTAAACCCTTGTGATATTCCTTAATATCCTCTAACTGTATCTTTAAATACCATTCATGTTTTTTATGTTTCTCTGCTAGCGACAGGGCATGCTTATGATACCCTGCTTGACGACATACTTTAATGGCTGTCTCCACATCAAAATCTATTTCTCTATCTTTTGTCTACATAAAATATACAGTAAACATGTGTACTGACAAGATGACCAATGGTATGTTTTTATGGAAATGAAATGAGAGAGGGAAATGGGGTTTAACATCCCACTGACACAGACTTGGTCATTTCGGGACTAACATATGGTTCAATTTTATCTCAATACTTTGCTTGCGAGTAGGGCCAGAGAAAACCCACGAGGATGGACAGGTGACTACTCCTTGTCACGTACAAGCAGCGAATCGAAACCACCCCACTTGACTCAATGACAGACCCTCTTATGATCCAACACGTACGATTTAACACCAACCCCCATTTTCTGTTAGAGGTGATCAGAAATATAACTTTGTGTTCATTTCTTCTACCTACCATAATAAATTCATCTAATTTGGAGACATCTTTAAGTTTAGTATAACAGTTTAACAATAATGTTGTATGTTCCTCTGTAGCTAGCTGTGCTTTATGTAATGCTTGGAGATATTTGGTTAAATTATGGATTCTTTGAGCATCGAGGAACTGAAAGAATAACAAACAGTTACAACAATGAATTGTAAAGCTTAATGTAGAAAAAAAAACCCATATGAAATGAAATTGGGTTTAACATCCTACTTTTCTCCAGTAAATGGGTTAATGAAGACCAGCTGCGTGCTATGAGGGAAATTTTGCCCAAACAGTGGCATTTCCATATACTCTTCATCAAATTCCAATTGTTGTTTTATGTGCACGTCAACAAATACATATAGGAGCTCAGAACAACAAGACATTCTTTCCCCATCAGACCGTTTTGCCCTACACCACGGATGAGAGACAGAGAGAGAGAGAGAGAGAGAGAGAGAGAGAGAGAAAGAGAAAGAGGGGGTTTAACCTCCACTGGACACAAACTAGGTCATTTCGGGACTAACATTGTTCAATTCTATTTCCATAATTTGCTTGCACGTAGGGATCTTTAGCAGTGGAAGGAAACCGGAGAATCGGAACCACGCCAGTTGACTCAATGACAGACTTTATGATAAAGCGCGCACAAGCTAACCATTCAGCCATCCGACCCCCCGTACACCACTGACAAGCTATGAATCAGAACTTTCTTAGCCAACACTAGGATTGATCCGGGGACCTCCCGGTTGGTGAGCCAACGTAATACTCAATGAGCTACCACGGCTCCCATTCATACTGGAGGGAATTTGAAGCAGGTACGGGTCGGCACGATTTCATTCTATCTTATTATGAAAGCATGTAATTTTGTAGGAATATTACTGACATAAATTTGAATACTGCATGGGAATTATATATGTAAAATAGCGAGGTGTACTGATTTTTATTACAGACAAATTTGAATATTTCGTTGACACATGAATTTTAATTGTATTCTGAATCCGTCTGCTTAAGGATAAGAGTTATTCCCCTTTATTTCAGGTAAAAATGTCCGACAAGTAATAGCAACACTGTGTTAGAGTGTATATTACCTTTCTAATAACATATGAAGCTTCTAGTTTACCAATAGTTTTAATATATTGATCTATAGCTCCATCATGATCACCTTTACCATAAAGATGATCTCCATACTGTGTAAATATATCTATTAAACCATCTTCATCATATTGTTGGCTCTTAGCTAAACTATAATAACAAAATATATATCAGTCAATAAGTCTATATCAGAACATATAAACTACCATAACAAAATACCCAACAACAAAAACACATACTTATGGAAAAACAGCTACTAGTGTATTTTAAGGCAATGTTTTGAAGAGTATTGATAACGTTATCAATAGTCTTTGAAACGTTGCCTTAAAGTACACTAGTAGCTGTTTTTCCATAAGTATGTGTTTTTGTTGTTACTCTATCCAGTTACTAAATGCCATTTAAAGATTATAATAAAATATCTGTCAATAGCTCAATATTTTAGAAATTAGCTAAAACTAAAACAAAATATCTTTAGGTCAATAGGTCAGAAATTAGCTAAAACTAAAACAAAATATCAATTGAACAGAGTAAAATTTGGTGACTTACGGCTAACCCTACATGGATTAAGATGCTTGTTGTGAATATAATATAATGAAATTATGAATATAATACAAACCTGATAGCTAGAGTATAGTTATTCTTTTTAAATAACATGTCTAATTTAGTCTGGGTATCTTTCTCTTGTAACTGATATAACTATAACAACAAAATATCTTTAATTATACAAAAATATCTCTAATTATACTCATAATATCTTTAATTATGCACAAAATATCTTTATACTAAAAAATACCTTTAATTATACTAAAAAATACCTTTAATTATATTAAAATATCTTTAATTATATTAATAATATCTTTAATTATATTAAAATATCTTTAATTATATTAAAATATCTTTAATTATATTAATAATATCTTTAATTATATTAAAATATCTTTAATTATATTTTTTAAAAATGTATTTAATTATACAAAAATCTCTTTAATAATACAAAAATATTCCTAATTATACAAAAAAAAATCCTAAATATACAAAAATATCAATAAGCAAACTCTGAGACTGACAAATCAACTCCTTACAATAAATACAATAAAGTAGATGGAGTGTGCAGATATGATTGGATCTCAGTCATATGGTTGGGGTAGGAAGGAAGCAATGCTCCTAAAATAAACCATAAATAATAATCCCCCAGCAACAAGACCCATCAATGTAACCAGCTGACAAAGGACATTTTATTCTTTCACTAAAGATTTCATTCAATTTCAAATTTATCAATAATGTTCCCTTTTCTAAATATCTGTCAAGACACATGTGAGATGTCTATTTTCAAGCTTGTTGAGGAGGATATCAGACCAGGTGGAGAGGTCATTTCAGGAATTCTGTATTAGGGTTAGGATTACCTGCCCCTTATTCTACCCCCCTGTGTTGTTTAATGCAGCCTGTGGGAATTTCTGACCTACTCAAATGGTCTGAAAATAAACTCTCCCTACATGTGAAGTGATGTGTAATTCCAAGTCAAGGGGGGATAACTCACTTTTCTATCACCAGCTAAAATATACAGTGACCCCCATTCACACATGACATCTATAACCTCTTGATATGGTGCTGAATACGCTATAAATTTATTCTGTATATCATAGACTGTAACTAGATTCATTTCTTTACCACTTCCCCTTTAAAATATATAACAGGGTATCAACAAACTGTGTCCACTCAACACACATTAGGTCATTTTGGGATTTTATTTAAATAATTTGCATGCGAAAAGATATGAAATGAGGTTTAATGTGTTACTGTTCTGCTCCGACTGGGCCCGGACAGCGGCACAACGGCCTACTCTTATATCGAATTCCAACTGTCAGGGGGTCTTTTACGTGCACGCCAATGTGTACACGGGATGTCGTTTTTTCATCGCATCTGAATGACTAGACATTGTTATGGCCCTCCATCCTGCATCACTGACAAGGGGGAACCACGCCGGAAAATCTGGATGAACTTTCTCGCCAATGCAGAGATCGAACACCCGACCTCCAGGCTAGCAAGCCAGTGTCATACCCACTTAGCCACCGCGACCCCCTAATTTGCATGCATGCAGTGGGTCTTTAGCTATGCAAGAACAAAGGATGACAAGTATTAATACTGAGTATAGGAAATAGTAAATCAATAAAGTTGTATAATTCTAAAGGATATTACAATAAAATAAATCAGATTTTTTTTTTTGAAGCCTTGTCCAAGAACCCAATTTTTTTTTTGTATGGCCTTAGATAAAACAGTAGAACTTACAATATAGGAGCTCTTGATTGAAGTTTATTTTCTTTCCCTACAATCACCAGATAACCTCTAAACCAATGTAGTTGTAATTTCTCACCTTCAAAAGCTAAACATGGACCTCTTTCATCTGGTTGATAAAAATATACAGCCTGAAGAAAGCAAAACATCATCAAATGAATTTCAGGAGCACCTTCTAATAAATTTTTCTTCCTATTTTTCAGTTGCGCTTCTGAAAAAGCTTTTAGTATTGAATTTTCATGTTTTGAAATCTTAAACAAAACACTGCGGACAAGATTGAGAGAGACAGACAGACAGACAGAGAGACAGAGAGAGAGAGATGGGGTCTTTAGCAGTGGGAGGAAACTGGAGGACCCGGAGATTACCCACGAGGTTGGACAGGCGACCCTACTCCTTGTCACGTAGAACCGAGGAATCGAAACCATGCCAGTTGACTAAATGACAGACCTTATGATATAGCGCGCACATGTTAACCATTCGGCCATCCAACCCCCAAGGACAAGATTAAGCGAGAGAGAGAGAGAAATTGCGTTTAACATCCACTCGACACAAACTAGGTCATTTTGGGACTTACATATGGTTTAATTTTATTTCAATAATTCGCTTGCACATAGAGGTCTTTAGCAGTGGGAGGAAACCAGAGGACCTGGAGAAAACCCATGAGGTTGGACAGGCGACCCTTCTCCTTGTCATATACAACCGGGGAATCAAAACCATGCCAGTTGACTCAATGACAGACCTTATGATACAGCGTGCACCTGCTAACCATTCAGCTATCCCCGCCCACCCCCCGACAAGATTGAAGTGGCTTTTTATTATATCAAGACCAAGAAGAGCTAAAATTTACAAAGGTCTGGCTCTAAAAATTGCTTATGATCTAAATAAAACAAAAATATCAACTGCAGAATATCTCCCAAATAGGATTCCATCAGATTAAAAAGGGAGGCCCAAAAAAAGATATTGTCCAACGCTGGCTTGTCTATATATCATCTGTTAGGATGCTGTATTTGGCCAAATCTTGAATTCATCATATCTTTGTCAATAGCCTACTGAATGGAATTTAATGATTTTTTGACTGATATTCACCTTCCACAATATTGTAGTTTGAGGGGTTTCAGAATTAATCAAATGATGTCGTCGTGCCAGAAGTTACGTATATAAAATTTATAGAAATTATTGGGGAACTTTGCCACAGATTAATAAAGACATGACAGATATATGAAGAGTCCAGGGGAAGAATGATATAAGTCACTTTTTCAACGAACCCCAGTTAATGGCGCAATCTGGTAGCAAATTGTATTAGATTTCTGTGGAACAATCTATTTCAGGTAAAAACGATCAGAGTCACATCGAACTAAGGCCCTTTTGAAAAGGCCTCTCGGACAAATACAAGTCCAACGTACCTTTTATTAACCTTAATTTGCCTGAAAAGTTGAAGTCAGTTGTACTGATAAATATGATTCGTATTAAACATCATTTTGAAGATGTAATGAAACCCACTCATTGTTCTGTTGGCGTCAAACATTCTCGTCCAAAAGTCTGTTTTGCCTTTTATGCGAAAAGACAAAAATATGACTTAGATCATTCTTCCCCTCGACTCTTCATATGTATTGCTAGAATTGAATATATAATATAGATCTTACATCTTGTCGTCCAATAACAACTTGATTATCTTGATTAGCATCACTCATTACAGTACATGATAACTTGGCTCCCATCTTCTCTAATACAATCTATAATATATATAACTTTATATAACTTCTCACTCATAAACATATATATGAATTACAGTATGTGATAACTTGACTAATCAATAGTAAATATTAGGTCGAAACAATGTCCTCATACATTCAATTTACAATGTCACAAGCAAGTAATTAACAATATGAAAGTCGGTAAGAACAAAACTATGAATATGTAGAAATTCCAGATATTTTGTGTGTCACACTGTATCATCATACACATGACATAATTCTGTAGAATACAATTATTGATCATTACATAGTAATATTTTCGACTAGGCTTCTCTAGTCCTTATCAAGCAATGATACCATTGATATATACAGAACCCTGATAACTCACTTTCTGATCTTTACCAGTGACATTTATAGAAACCCTGATAACTCACAATCTGATGTCTACAAGTGATATTAATAGAAACCCTGATAACTCACCTTCTGATCTCTACCAGAGATATTTATGGAAACTGTCTCATTTTCTGTGACAACAAACAGAAATATATCTTTACCAGAACTACGGAACATTAAACCTGTCACTCTCTTACTATTCTCAAAAACAATACGTGATTTACTATGTCTGAAAAAAACAACAACAAAAAATACGTGATTTACTATGTCTGAAAAAAACAACAAAAAACAATACGTGATTTACTATGTCTGAAAAAAACAACAAAAAACAATACGTGATTTACTATGTCTGAAAAAAACAACAAAACACAATACGTGATTTACTATGTCTGAAAAAAACAACAAAAAACAATACGTGATTTACTGGACACTATTTATCTATTTCACTTTTCAGGTCAGATTTTTTCATTTCAGATTATAGAATATCCTACATTTTTTGTTTCATATCAGACCCTTAAAAGTTATTGAGATCATATTGGTCCGATTCAGAGCCAATCATTATAGATTCAATTAGGTTCAGATGCAACCTTTTTTGGATTCAAATGGTTCAGAGTCAACTTGTTTTGATTCAGTTCGGTTCAGAGCCAACCATTTCTGATTCAGTTCGGTTCAGAGCCAACTTTTTCTGATTCAGTTTGGTTCAGAGCTAGCATTTATTGATTTGGTATGGCTCAGAGCCAACCTTTATTGATTGAGTACCGTTCAGAGCCAATATTACCTTACCTTTCTCGAGTGACGTCTCCCTTAAATAATACAACACTACCAGTTTCAAATCCTACAGCCATGTAGTTTAAATTATCATGAACAGCTAGGCATGTTACCTATATACATAAACATATTTATTCTTAATATACTCTCATGATATTATTTGAAGGCAGCAAGAAAGGGTATTTCATTACTCATTTATATTTAACAGTGAGACGCTTAGTTTCTACTTTTTATAATGAATGGAAAGCAATGGGGATAAGTTTAGTGCTGGCATGATATATCGTTGAATCGATGTATCGCGAATCACCTTCTCACGATTCGTATATTGAATCGCTAGACTCTGAATTGATTTTTTGTCGCTTCAGTAAGTAACCTGTCATTCTTAATTATCCATGTCACATATTATCCTTATATACATAGATACTCTTACATTGTTTTGGTCCTTATTTTGGGGATCACGTGGCTAAGTGGGTAAGACGCTAGCTCGCTAGCCTGGAAGTCGGGTGTTCGATCCCTGCACTGGCCGAGAAAGTTCATCCAGATTTTCCAGCGTGGTTCTCCCTTGTCAGTGATGCAGGACGGAGGGGCTGACAAGGAAAGCTGTCTAGTCGTTCGGATGGGACGGAAAACCGAGGTCCCGTGTACACATTGGCGTGCACGTAAAAGATCCCTTGGCAGTTGGAATTCGATATAAGAGTAGGCCGTAGTGCCGCTGTCCGGGCAAAATTTCCCTCATAGCACACTGTATGGCGTATGCCCGTCTTCATTAGCCCAGGTTAGGAGCAGAACAGTAGGACGTTAAACCCCATTTCATTTCATTTCGGTCCTTATTTTGATCCACATAGATATCTTATTTCCTCAGGATCGACAGGACTAAAAATATCAATTATTCATTTCTCTTGTTGTTTTCTTGGTAATACTAAATATTGACCTGGTTGTGAATCGTGATACGAATCATATCTTAGCACCTGAATCGCATTATGTATCGTATCATGACTGTAGTGGCAATACCCAGCACTGGTTAAGGTCTTATCCACACATCTGTGATTAAGAAACAATCATGTGGTAATTTTGATTTCCATGACTATGTGCACAATATGTGTAGTAGGATAATTTTGCTCAGAGAGAAGCATTTCTGCTTTTTTATTTCTAGGCTTGTATAAAATAAGAGAAAGTTCTACATACCGGAGTAGGTTTATTGCCAGGTATAGCTCTAGTTATTCTCGTACATAATGGATTTCCTCGTTCCATCTAAAAAAATAAAAGATGTATTTTTAACAAAATCATTATGGCAAGTCAGGGGAGAATCCAGGATTTTCAGTTGGGAGTGGGGTTCAGATATATCAGATCTTCATTTTTAAGTATTGCAGTGACATTTCACGAGTAGGAAAAGCATAGAACATTGAAAAATGGAAAGCTGTAGATGCCATGTCCGACTCAATCTGATTAAAATACAGATTTATATTTCATTCTTTTATACTTTCGATGGCCTAAACTACATGAAGATCTAACCGGTGGTAGTAAAAGGTCGCATCAGGTGTCATACCAGCGGCTTTTGACCCTATGACATCACACTGATTAATCAATCAGTGTTGATGTTTCTAGTGGTTTACCCACAGTTCTGTGCATCGCACGTTAAGAAATCGCCGTAACAGACCTTTCATTGGCTTACCCCTCACTTCAACCAGAACGTGTGTTATATAACAACTCTTCCAGATCCTAGTATAGTGTTGTGAAGAAAAGTAAAACGAAATTTTGAACTATAAACAATGAAACGAAATAGAATCTGTGCTTGAATCAGATTGTGTCCGACTATATACGACCTGAGAATATTTACAAGACAAGTGACAACATTCAACAATTAATCAAGCCAACTGTGAGGCTGGTGACTCAACTTCAATTAGAAATCAAATAGATGAGGATGTTGTTCAAAGATAAAAATGAATAAGGACTGAATTTTGAAATGAACTAACAATTTTATTTCATGATCAATATTTAACTCACCTTATCTAAATTCCATACTTTAATCAGTGGGTTAATACCTTGTTCATCTTCCTGTAGGATAAGATAAATTAATTAGAAGCAGGAACAGAAAGGAATGGAGACTATAGTTATTATTTCCTACTGTCACATGTGCAATGGTAGGGAGCAGAATTTTGCCTGGACATCAGTGTCAAATTCTATTAAAGGGGCATTATGAGAGATTAGATAAAGAGTTGACAGTTCTCGCTATAATAGTTAAAAAAAAAAGATAATGTAAAGAGAATATGCTGAAAATTTCAGTCAAATTACTTCACTCTGAGCCAAACAAAAAATGAACTTCAAAAACTCTGTAGTGGACTGTAGCCTTGATTGTCATTGTTACCGTTGTTACGATAATAAACAAAGTCTTTTTTACAGTTACTCATGAATAGCTATTGAATCGCAGATCGGATTCAAATCTGTTTAAAACCGTACCTATCAGATGGCATCAAGAGTTGATTATGGTCTTGTCATGTCTAATTAATAGTTTATATAACATTTATGACCTAAAGATCTGCAATAGGCAGATTTAGCTCTTGAATAATGCCTCTAAGTGCAGTCCAGCATGCACAAAGGTAGACAGCAGTTTTCCATACCATCCAATTGACTAGGCAATAGTTTGCCTATAAAACAAGATTGCTAATTTGTGATTCGTTCCATTTTTTTTAGTGAATTCCTCAAGGTGGATGGCAGTTTTTATACCATCCAACTGACTAGGCAATAGTTTGTCTTTATATCCAGACTGTTAATTTGTAATTCGTACAATTTTTTTAGCGATTTCTTTAAGGTGGATGGGCAGTTTTTTGTACCATCCAACTTAGTAGGTAATAGTTTGCTTATAACTCGAGATTGTTAATTTGTAATTCGTACAATTTTTTTTTAGTAATTTCTAAAAGATGGATGGCAGTTTTTCATACCATCCAACCGACAATGCAAGAGTTTGCCTATAAATCCAGATTGTTAATTTGTACAATTTTTTTTAGTGATTTCTTCAAGGTGGATGGCAGTTTTTCGTACCATCCAACCGATGAGACAAGAGTTTGCCTATAAATCAAGATTGTTAATAGTAATTTCTTCAAGGAGTTTAACAATAGATTACTTACACCAACTGACAGCAGTATATTATGTTGTTTCATCTGATATAGATGTGAAACACGGATTTCATAAGCTTTAAATGCAGTTAATTGTAACTGTCTATTAATAAAGTACATGTGACCTTCGAAATCACCGATGATCAACTGACCACGCCCACTAGCACATGCGGACACGTTAACATCCTGAAATGACAAATAAATAAAACGACAGGTATTACAAAATGTTCAAATAACATCCGATGCCAATCGAGAGTTGATTATGGCCTGGATAAGTTAATTAATGTCTAATTAATAATTTAGATAACATTTTAGGCCTAAAGAAAGACCTGCAATAGGCAGATTTAGCTCTTGCATAATGTATTTTTAAGTGAAGGATGCAATAAACTCAAAACAATACAGATGCTGTGTTGATTAGTAGTGTTATATGGCAAAACATTTTGGTCTCAGTTGACCTTTTGTATCTGATGAAGGTCAATTGAGACCAAAATGTTATACCGTTAAACACTACCAATCGATACAGCATCTTGTTATTTTGAGTTTGGGGATCCCTAACTTATTTCTTGAATCCTAGTCATACATTTTATACAAAAAAAAACCATCAAGAAGACTCAGTAATCAACATAATGCACCCTTGTGTACGAAAAAAACATGTCATGTTTGTTTCCATGGAAACAAAAAAAATAATGGAATTGATGGAGCCCATTTCAGCATCACTCCTTAACTTTGTGTACCGTCCTGCAGGATAAAAAATGATCATTGAATCAATAATGTGACTGAATTTGGAAATTCAGATGGGACGACTGCTGACTTCCATAAATAATTCAAACATTCCCCACTGTTTTGGAAGGTTTAAACAGGTGTCTTCAACATCTTGAATAAATGAAATATAAACTTATAAATAATTCATTTGGTTTGCAATAATAATGTGATTACAACATACCTTAAGCTGTTCAAAAGCTTGTTCTGTTTCAGGATCTTTAACAATTTCTTTCTCAAAAAAATTAAATCTTCTCCACTAAAATAACAAGGATATTCATGATTCAAACAGAATTAGCATCTAGTTGAAAACACTGTACAAGCAAAACAAAACAGATAAAAAACACAAGCTTGCATCTAAAGAAATTGAAAGAAGAATAGGCTAAAGGACAGGCCTGGATTAAAGGACAATATTGGTGCCAGTCATTATCACATATGTGATAGAGCTGGTTAAACACATTCCAAATATACTTTTAACACAGAGATCATTTCTACAATAGCTGAGTAATACAGGTTTCCCGAATCGGAAGTGATGAACGCCAAAGGAAAACACGAGTCACCGCTCTATATAACTGACTGAAGCGACGTGTGATAACAGTTACACTGCCAAATTTCTGCTCACTAATAATTCCTTCGAAGATCAAAAGTTGTTATATGGGACTGTAAGATGATATCTGACAATTCAATAAAGTAATTGAATGTCATAAGATAAGAGAACACGAGAAAAATAGAAATAGTCCATACATTCATTTTTTTTATATTCATTATATACCTTATAAAAACATGGTAATGCACAGACTTTTTCTGTTTTTCTTTCGTGTTCTCTTATCTATATTCTTTGAATGGCATTTAGTAATTAGAACATAATCAAAAACACACTTTTATGGATAACAATTACTATGGTTTATTTCACTGCGACGTTTCAACAAGGTTTCACAAGTCGTTATCAAGCATATACACAAATAGATAAAAATGAGAAAGATATGAATATATATATACAAACATCAGTGCGAACTTGTGCATTCCATTGGATAGTTCGCACTGATGTTTGTATATATATATTCATATCTTTCTCATTTTTATCTATTTGTGTATATGCTTGATAACGACTTGTGAAACCTTGTTGAAACATCGCAGTGAAATAAACCATAGTAATTGTTATCCATAAAAGTGTGTTTTTGATTCTCTTATCTAGTGGCAGTCAATTCTTTTTATGAATTGTCAGATATCCTCTCACCTCACACAACAACTTTTGGTCTTCGAAGGAATTATTAATGAGCAGAAATTCGGCCGTGTATCTGTAATCACTCGTCGCCCCAGTCAGTTATATAGAGCGGCGACTCTTGTTTTCCTTTGGCGTTCGTCACTTCCGATTCGGGAATCCTGTATTACTCAGCTATCGTAGCAATGATCTCTGTGTTCTAACACATATGTGATAATGACTGGAACCAATATTGTCCTTTAAGGGTGGTGCTAATTCGGCTGCAGACATGGGGCCCCAATAATAAACAGCCCCCCCTCCCCCCAAATTGAAAATAATTTAAGATGCAAACTGCATTTGTGTGAGTGTAAGTGTAATGGAATATGCCCCCAACTCGCCAAGACATATTTTCAGTCTGAGTTTGTTTTTTTACCCTATACATGCATGCCAATGTAGCATGTGAGTGGATCTTGTTGTATGCTTCATGACATCAGAAGATCCAGGCATGCATCAACCTCATGAGAGTTATAAAATACCCATGTACATACTCTTATTTACTATTACGACCCAACATTGCCTCATTTTTGTGTCTGAAGTGTTGGACTCTTTACCTAGCCTTTCTGATGGCTACTATATATGAGAGTTAAAAGGACTATCCCTTATTTGAACAGAGTCTCAAAAATAAAAGTCTGAGTATGTATGAAATTTAAATGCCAAAATATAGGGGAATGGGGTATTGACCATATCTCAAAATTTCTGCTCAAAATATTGAATCGTTTGGACGTGACCATCAAAACTGCTTATCCGGACACGTAACCCTTTTAAGATTTGTGGTCAATTTTTTCGTTGGGAGACCTAATAATCGATTCCCGTTCATTGAGATGTCTATACAGTGAATGACCCAAATGCTGTACTTGATAATGAAAGGTAAATTTCACCTACACATTATTTTTATACAAAAAATGTCTGTTTTATCTAGACACCGCATAATACAGCTTGGGACACCGGTCTCCATTTCCAGATGAAGACTGACGGGTTTCAGTTATTTGAAAACTTATCACAAATATTGAGTTAGTTGCTCGGCCTTTAGGGAGAGGATTTTAAGGGATTTTAAAACAAAATTAAACAGTTTTATTCTCCCAAAAATTATCGGGATTAGCCCTTTAAATTAAATTGAGAAGGAATGTTTTATTTATCAGTTTTTTTTCTCCAAACCTTCAAATGTCAGAATTTTTACAGATATTTCAACCCTGGCCAACTCATTGTACCTTTCCAAAAGGAATCTATATTTATGATGACAGTACGGTATGGGTATTCTTACATTTTTCGCTGACATGTGATCATTGTGATGTGTGGTATTGTTTAAAACAAGCCATAGAAATATCTGGGATACAATGTAAAAGATGTGCATAAGACTAAGAGACAAGGTCATGGTATACTATTCAAAAAAATTAGGGGATATTTGATTTGGGGGGCATAATACTAAAATATGCAAATGACTACGAAAAAAGTCACTATAGAACCTAACAGAAGAAACATTTCCAGTTACATGTGACACCCAAACGCACCAATAGCTACCGCATGGAATGCAGGTGATGCTTGGGATCATCATGGGGGTCCAACCCAAGATTTGCACGACTCTGACTTTGAATGTTACAGTCATTGTGGCATTGAATTCCAGGGTGGAAACATCAGTTTAATTGTTTTAGTGACCAGAAAACAAATTTTGATATGCGTCGGCTTACCCAAAATGAAAGGTTACGTGCCCTTGGCATGCTACAGATCGGCACAACACAGGCGGTTGTGGCGCGGACGATGAATGTTTCTCAGTCTGTCATAAGCAGGCTACGGTCCAGATACCGTGATACACAATCTGTACAGGACAGACCACGCTCAGGTCGACCAAGGGCGACAACTCAAGCCCAGGATCGATTTATCCGTACCTTGGCCTTGAGAAATCGTGTCATCACAGCAAATCAGATCAGCGCTCGTCTTCAAACAGACACTGGTGTGAGAGTGAGTGGCCAGACGATTCGGAATCGACTGCATAGGGGTCACCTTCGCGCCCGACGTCCTCGCGTGATCCCTTGTTTGAGAGATCATCACATTCAGGCAAGACGTCGTTGGTGTAGGGATCGTCAACACTGGGATAATCGACGCTGGAGCAATGTGATGTTTTCAGATGAGTCAAGGTTCACTGTTGATTTTTTGGACAGACGTAGGAGGGTGTGGCGTCGTCGAAACGAGCGCTTCCAAGACGTTAACGTCATCAGACATGATCGATTTGGGGGTGGTTCTGTTATGGTGTGGGGAGGCATCACTGTTGCTGGAAGAACGGCTTTACATGTTGTTGTAGGGCGTGTTACAGGCCAGTACTACCGGGACAACATCTTGGCAGTCCATGTTGTGCCGTTCGCACGACGTCATGGCCGCCGTTTCATCTTCCAGGATGACAACGCAAGATGTCACAGGGCCAGGATCGTTACAGGTTACCTCCAACAACAGAACATCACCACATTACCTTGGCCAGCACTGAGTCCCGACCTCTCCCCCATCGAGCATGTCTGGGACATGCTTGGACAGAGGTTACGTCAACGTCAACAACGTCCTGCCAATGTCCAAGAACTTGCTGCTGCGTTGCAACAGGAATGGGACAATCTGGACCAAAATGACCTTAGACGTCTCATTAGGAGTATGCCACGTCGGATCAATGCTTGTTTGGCAAACAGAGGAGGATTTACCCGTTACTGACTTGGTTGTGATGCTGTGGTAATTTTGCTGTTTGACCCCGGGTATCATTTTACCCTTATAATGGTCAGTCTGTGCCTTACTTAGTCTAACGATCATTTGGAATAAATCGATGAATGTGAACTTCATTTCATTTTGTCATTTGTTTCTTCGTCAGTTTCATTAGGTGACTTTAATAACATTTAAAAATCAAATATCCCCTACTTTTTTTGAATAGTATATTTTAGGGAACAGAATCTCTGTGAAAATTCCATAAAAATTGTGAACCATTGGCTTTTCTGGTTCAGAACATTACTACCACCTCCCTTACCCTTGCCCTATAGAAGGCAAGGGAAAGATTCAGACAAATTTAAGAACATCGGCGACACACTGACTTTAAAAAAAAAATTAGAATCTCCAGTTATATTTTGCTTTGCCTTCCTTTTAAAATTAAAAAGAGACAATTTTTTTCAAAGATTATATTTCTTTGCCCTGGTTACCTAAATTTCGTTTTGACGACATTTCTAAATTTGTTCACTGGTCTATGTTTAGTAGACTGCAATTATGAGAAATAGAATATGGCAGAAGGGTATTGGTTTCTACCAGCATGCTGTGACTTGCATCACACATACTGGGTACTGTCTCAAATGAGGTAAAGCAAGGTCCTGTCTCTACATTATACAGGCGAAAAAGAGAGAGAAATGGGGTTTAACATCCACTTGACACAAACTAGGTCATTTCGGGACTAAAATATGGTTCAATTTTATTTCAATAATTCGCTTGCACGTAGGTTAGACTTTAGCGGTGGGAGGAAACCGGAGGACATTATAAACTAAAGGCATTCACAGGGACTGACACGCTACCATTTGGCCATTTACTGCGATACAAAAAAAAAAGGTTGACAAAGACTTTTAGAACTTAGACCTTTAAGCATTCATGAATGATCAGAGCTGAAAATAGACATAAAAAAGGCAAGGAAGGGGCGGGAACGATCAGAGATGAAAATAGCTATAAAAAAGGCAAGGTAGGGGCGGGCTAACTCTCAGGGAAAGATTCAGACATTCACATCAGATCAGAGCTTAAAATAGACATAAAAAAGGCAAGGAAGGGGCGGGAAGGATCTGAGCTGAAAATAGCCATAAAAAAGGCAAGGAAGACATTAGGAAGGGGCGGGCTAACTCTCAGGAAAGATTCAGACATTCACATCAGTCGAGGTCTACTCATCACTATAGAAAATTTACACAATACTTTAAAAATAATGAGTTAATTCGATGACAATTTTCCCCTCAAAAAATTACATATACTTCCGTAAAATGACTAATACGTGGACAATTTCAAATTTGCATAAAAAAAATATGGTGACTAGGCCTAATCTGAATCAACAATAATTTTCCTAATATGTACGTTACTAATTTACTATTTGGGTTAGTCTATGAGCATTCAAGCGGTATTAAACATCCATGTTTGATTCCAGACTCTTCGAAATTAAAATATTTTAATTATAAGATCGACATTTCATAATTTTAATCATTTATTTCACGCCTACCTGAAGGAATGCCATTTTGTCGTCCCTGACCTTGAAAGTGACGCTATCACTGGTATCAGCATTATTTTCGAGCATTAGCCAATGTTTAGTTTAGTATAAATTACCGATTTGTTGTTAAATATATAACAGATCAACGGAAATTTAAAGTGAAGATATCCATGAAATTAATCAAATTAAATATTTAAGAATAATTACTTTTCAATGGTTTCGTAATAAGTTAGCTCTGCATATATTGTTGTTACGTGTAAATAAATATTTCTCCATATTTTTCTATGCGATACGAAATACAGATGTAAAAAACTGATTATAATGATTTTGAAATTATTTTCTTGAATAATTACAATAAATACTATTGTATAATGTTAAGAAAATGATTTTGGTAAAGCTATGAGATCAGCAATAAATAATAATTGGTTATTAGATTTCATTCGTTTCGTAAGTCCAAATTATAATAAAAATTTGTTCTCAACCCGTTGCCGGGGTCAACATTCGCGTTCTAACTTGCAGATTTCGTAAAAATGTCTCGAACATCATCAACTTATGGTAAACAAGGTCTCTTAAGACCTTCACATAACAATTTTGGAGGTTAGTAGATTAAAATCAGACAGATTTTTTCAAAATAAACATAAATTGAACATTGCACAATTTGTATTTTTTGCAAAAATTCCAATGGAACTGAGAAGTGATGAATGATTTTTTTATTATCGATTTGGATTTCCCCGCTCCTCATTTTCAATCCCCAATCAAAATCCTTTGTTTACTCTTGTTTGTGTTGTCTGTAGTAATTTATACACTTCAAGCTAGATAGTTGAATATTGTGGTTTTATTAGTTCTGGAGACTGGAAGTGGGGGAGCCGTAGGAATGAACTCAACAAAATCAATCAACTTGGAAACATAATTGTTTACTCAAGATCACTGAAGACTTTTAAATACCTTTTTGTTTTAAATTCAGATATTTAGTCTATAATAGTCTATGTTATTTCAAAATTTTCACAACCATATGTACACCACAGTACAGTAAAGACAGTAAAGAAAAGGGGTAGGGTAAAAAAAAAAGTAAAAATGTGGCGATCGATAAGTTTATTAAGTATAAAAGTTATATTGTAGAATCTCTTCAAACCCACACTACTGCAAGCATCTTCGGGATAAAACAATTAAATACTCTATTTTAAGTGCATAAATATGTTACCCATTTTTAAATTATTTTCTTACTGATAGAGGCATATATATATGTGTTGTTTTTTTCTAAAGAGGTAAGACTAGACCTAAGAGTTAGCAATATGAGTTCCAAACAAATAGATGATAAATAGTTAAGTCTGAAAAGCGACATGCACTTGATTGATAATAATGCATGTTTGTCAGATGAATAGCAATTTGGTATACAGGTACAGATACGATGTCGGATAAGTATCCACAATGTAGAGGAATTCTTATTTTATAAAATATAAAATCTTTACAGCTCGTAATAAGAAATTCATGGCTAGTACAAAGTCTAAAGTTTCAGAGCCAATCAGAGCTCAAAGTCCTTCTGTAATTGAATGGAGCAAGACATTAAGGTCTCGTAGCCCCTCCCCAACACGGGCTTCATCAAGAACACTGTCACGTAGTCATTCACCTTCATCAAGTCAAGTGAAAACAACGAAATCAATACTGCGAACGCAGAGCTCTTCCCCGAATAGACTTGCCTTTTCAACATCAGATTTGGAAGGTATGTTTTGAGGCATGATGAATGTCAATAATTAGAGTGTAGTGTAGACTAGATATATATTTAATCAGTATATTTATTTTTTTACTATGTTGTAAATTTACTAATAATAAAAGGAATGCCAATACTGACCTGCAATGGTCAAAAAGACCGACAATGGTTTAGGGGTGTATCACACAGCCTAGCAAAGCCTAGCAAAGCCTAGTAACTTAGTAACTATCTAACCCATCACTAGCTAAATACTCCTCAGCAACATTTCCAAACAGCAGTCCATGACCAACAACAATCCAAATTACGCATGTTAAATAAGCAAGCTAGCCAACGTATAACATTGATGAATACACATAGGGTTGGCTTTATTAAATACCGGTACTATAACATATAAGCACATTCACTTTCTAACAAAAATGTCAGAAAAGGGCCAGTCCATTATGAGTGACCACAGGGAATCTGGGTCACATTTACAGCACTACTGTAATAGTATTTTACATTAATTAGTTTAATATAATTTCCTTGTTTGACATAGGAATTAAAATAAAATTATTTTCTCCTCTATCTCAGGTCTTTGTGTTATAACGTGTCACATGATTGAATGCCTTGAATTTTGTACAAATTATGCTCAGTTTGAGGGGTTGCTGAATTTAGCTGCATTTGTATTTCCATTTATAAAATAAGTTGTAATGTATGGTATGTGAGTCATCAGGCACAATCACTCACAACAAATTAAAAGATACACATTCTATATATTGTGTGTTACATAGTACTGGAGGTCCAGGAGATATATACTTTCATATTAATTAAACATGCATTATGCAAGAGCAAAATCTGCTTATTACAAGTCTTTCTTTAGGCCTGAAATGTTATCTGAATTATAAATTAGACATTAATTAACTTATCCAGACCATAATAAACTCTCGATGTCAAGGCTAGCCTTCGATGTTGGCTGGATTAGAATCCTATACCGGTATGCCGCTAACGGCTATTGATAATTAAATAAATAAAAAAGTGGATAATCGAGACTATGCTGTTTATATTAATGATTTTAATAATGATGACCGAGACTATGCAAAAATTTCACCCACTTCTTCCTCGGCTCATAGTGGATCAATTTGACTGAAATTTCAGCAAATTACCTTTACACTATCTAGTTTTTAACTATTATAGCGAGAACTGCCATCTTTTTATCTTATCTCCCATAATGTATATTTAATATTGTTTTAAAGGATTTCACACAAAATCATTATTTTTAATCCTCTATTTTGAATGTAATGACCACTTTAACAAACACACTGGAGTGTGCAAGGCTTGCAAGCAGTGTTCACTGTTGTTATTCTAATGCATGATTTTATCACAATTAAATTATGTTACACATTTTTTTAAAGATTATTTAATTAATTTGGATGTAAAATAAAGCTGTTATATATCCATACTCTCTAGCTGTTAATTTGGATGCCATTAAAAATAAATTAAGAAAGATAATTCACCCTCTTAGTAGATATAGGGTAGATGATATGTAATGGAGTTAATAAAAATAGAATCCAGAAAAGTGCTTCTCTAGTATGGAGCCACTGTGACTAAGTGAGTAAGATGTTGGCTCGCTAGTTTGGAGGTGCGGATTCGCTTCCAGTGTTGGCCGAGAAAGTTTATCAAGATTTTCCTGCGTGGTTTCCCCTTGTCAGTAGTGCAGGATGGAGGGCCTAACAAGGACAGCTGTCTAGTCATTTGGATGGGACAAAAAACCAAGGTCCCGTGTTAACATTGACGTGCGTGTAAAGATCCGGTGACAGTTGGAATTTGATATAAAGAGTAGGCCGTACTGCCACTGACTAGGCAAAATTACCCTAAAAGCGCACTGTATAGTGTATGCCATCTTCATTAGCCCAGTTGGAGCAGAAGAGTTGGATTTTGCTTCTCTAGTATTACTATAGTTAAGTATGTTCACATAATTTTAACATTAAATATCAAAACCTTTAAGATAGAGTAGTTACCAGGACTGGTACTCACAACAGACTAGTTACTCACTTTAATAACTTTAAAGCATTTCTTTCTGTTTTTATTATTTTTATTGAAGATGCATTATGTAAGAGTTTTATTTTGGCTTCAAATGATATATAAATTATTATTTAGACATTTAATCACATGATAAGCCTATAAATAATCAACTCTTGGATGGCACAGATGTAAACAGATTAAAATATGATTGCCATTTAATGATTTCATTTAAAAATAGAGAAGTGAGGGTGAGTCTCGATTAACAAGTTATGTTGCTGCAATAAGAAAGAATAAAGTAATTTTAATGAATGTTTCAGTATATTAATTTTGAATTATCTATTTTGAGACTATTATAGCAAGAATGACCAGCTCTTTTATCTAAATCTTACATAACGTATCTTTAAAGCAACTAAACATCTTTGATTTGGGTGGAAATAATGTATTGAATTAAGTTGTTTTGATTGGGCAACCGCTGAACAGTTATCAGTAGTTGTTTGTTTCAAAAAATTTAGAAAAAGTCAGCTGGTTTACTAATTTTGGTTTAATTTTGGTTTCTGTTTCAAAATTTGAATTCAAAAATAGTTAAACTGGCTTGATCTTTAGATAAAATGTTTAATGAAGACAATTTGTCACCCCACATTCAACCGAAAAATCAAATCAACATTTCTATTATTTGATCCAAATCAAAGCAGTCAGATCATGGTGAAAGCCCTATATAAGTGTTAGATTTTTCACATGATTAATATATGCAGGCTATTATTTTATATCCCAATGTATTTAGCTTTATTATATATGATGTCAAAATAAAATTATGTTAAAAAGAGTATAATATAATCATATAATGATAATCTTGAGAGGAAGTAATTTTGAATGTTTACTTTAATAAATGTGATATTTATGCTGTTGTAATGTGTTAATTAATGTTGATTATTGTTGATATGAAATGTACAAGTTATCTATAATAAGTTGTGCTATTAATGCTTTCTATAATTTGATTTATGTAAAATATTTTTAAAACAATGAGTTTATTACAACCAATAATTAAAACCGCTGATCGTGGTTCAATATTGATTATTGTGAAAGTGGAATCTCTATAAGTATCAGTGCCAAATTGGCTCAATTCCATTCAGAATTTACAAAAATATGATGAATTGTCATCCTTCGCAGGGTGTTGATTAAAGTCTTTTTAATCTGGTCTAATCCAGTTTATTTAATTTGGTCTACTCCAAGCCACGTGGTTAACTACCCAAGTGATTTTGTTTTTATAATAAAATGTTAAATAATGAATTTGAGTACACTTGAACATACTGATACACCACTTATTATCTGAAAGATATGAATGATGATCAGTGGAATTATATAATAATGTTTCAAAATTCATTTTAGGACCTAAATTTATAGTTACCATATTATCATACTAATAATTTGAATGACTTTGATTTCTAGATCTAAAAGTTACGCCTTCTAAAAGATTTCCTTCATCGAGCAGTGTACGTAAAAGTACCAGTAGTTGGGCATCAAGAGTTAATTCAGGAGTTAGTTTTTCAGGGTAAGTAAGATGCATTATTCAAGAACTAAATTTGCCTATTGTCGCAGGTCTTTCTTTAAAAGCTTTTAATATTATATAAATTATTAATTAGACATTTATGAATGGGACAAGACCATAATCAACTCTTGAGGCCATCAGATGCTCGAGATTTTAACTAGATTAAAACGGTAGGCCATTTAATGATTTAATTTAAAAATGGAGAAGTGAAGCTAGGACTCGAGTGTACCAGTACTGTGGTAAAGATAATAAACAATAGATGCACACATCTTGTCAAAACTTCAAACAGTGATAACTTGGCTCAGAATAAAGTAACTTCAATGAAATTTTAATATATTTATTTTGCATTATCTATTTTTGAACTATACCCTTAAAAAAAAGTAGGGGATATTCAGAAATAATACAAAACTGTGGAAATGCACTGATGTTTTTATTAGAGGTAACCAGTGTATGTTATTGTTAATAACAGGCCAATTGCCTACACATGAACATAAACAGTTCATATGGGTGGCTTATCTGACGCCCCCATTTCACTTGCAAAGAGATAGACCTACTGTCAAAAGTGAAAATGGACGTTTTTGATTTTTGTCTTAATAATGAGTAATTGCTCCACCAATAATCCTCAGACATTCAGCAATTCGTCGTGGCATGCTCCTAATCAAACATCCAATCAGGATTTGGGGCAATCTGGCTCACTCCTCTTGCAGTGCCACGGCCAATTCTTGCATTATTGTCAGTTGACGTTGACGAACACGTCTCCCAATCAAATTAAATGTAACACACTAAAGCAAAGTTACACTAAACAGTAAATCATATGCATGAACCGATAGGAAAGCAAACATGGATAGGATAAACCAGCACATGGCAGTTTTCATCAACCCTTCCTTGAAGTGTCAAATTTGACAATGAACCCCTCCCACGTGTAGGGCGCTATTGTGTGTCGCATGTGTAGCTCAGTGGTTCTGTTGGGGCGATAAGTTCTTCATCTGTGAACATACTCTCAAAGCATGTCTTATGTGTCCATGACTATTTATCATATCACAACCTGCATAGGTATTTGCATTTCAATATCCCTACTTTTTTTTAAGTATATTATAGCAAGAACGGCCAGCTCAGAATCGGATCATTTCGTTTTTTATGATTTCCATGTTTTTCACTACATGAGGATCTGCCCGGTCGTAATGGGAGGTTGCATCAGGAGCCATACGAACAGCTTTTGACCCTTTATCACTTCAGTCATTCGATTAACCAATGAAAGTTGGTTTTTCAACTGGGTATTTGGAAATATAACTTTTGCTTTGATTTCTTTTCTATCGCTGTGAATGTCTACTCACAGTTACTCGTGCCAAACGATAAGAACTCGACTCAACAGACCTGGGAGCCACAATAGCTCAGTGAGTAGGACGTTGACTTGCTATCCTGGAGGTCTCGTAATTGATCCCTGCAATGGGGGGGGGGGGGAGTGTTGGATTGCCGAAAGGAAAGGGACAACGTATAATCGTTAGGATGGGACTAAAAACTTAGGTCCCGTGTACACATTGGTATGGACATATTTAAAAACCCTTGACAGTTGGAATTCAAAATAAGAGTAGACCACAGCACCACTGTCCTAGCAAAATTTCCCTCGTAGCAATCTGAATGGCGTATGCCTGTCTTCATTAGCCCAGTCGGAGAAGAACAGTAGGGACGTTGAACCCCATTTCATTTCATAGATATTCCTGAAGATCTGAAACTCAAATGGGTGTGGCCTAATTAATAATAGTTGTTTTCTGTACCAATTTTTTTGTTTTTGCAGGAAATCAAGTAGAAGTATATGTAACAATGATCTGGCAGACCTTGAAGCATCCTATATTAAAAATCTACAACAACAGATTTATTTCCTGGAACTGGAATCTAATTATCTATATCCTTTATTTATACAAGATTATATTCACATTCTTTATTTATAATCTTTGTATGGCATTTAGCGATTGAACATAAATAATATAACACAACACAGTTCTATGGATAACAATCACTATATTATATAACAATAACATACAACATTTCGACAAGAATTCACTGGTCGTTATCAAGCATACAAATTACAAATGAGGAAAAAATGTGTGTGTTAGTTGTATTTTACGTCCGCTTCCACCGAGGTGATATCGCAGACAATGAGAAAAAAAATTGTGACACTGTTATAGTGTACCAAACATCCAGAAACAGCTCTGTAGATAAAACATACGAAACTTATACGCTGTGTAGGGTATTGTACGCGAAGTTTCATTTAGACGCGGCTTTCTTTCAGTTTTAAACTATCTTGATTTTATTATTCAACCATTTTTCGAGGTAATACAAAAACAACTGCAGAAAACTCTAACAATGCAATGTGGAACAAGACCACCAATTATTATTTTTAATTTGGAATGGACATACTCAGATCATGATTGCTTGATTTGTTTAAGAAATTTCATTGTTCACTTTTATGATTGGCTTAATAATTGCGAAGATCTTATAGCTCTATAAGTACGCTATAACTTCGGCAAATACGCTATAACTTCGACAAGTAAATAGACTTGGTTATCCAGCAGTGCAATATTGGAACTTATGACTAACCCACTTGGAAAATAAACATTTGTATTTCTTCAAAAATATTATCACTGAGTTTCAGATAGTTGCACGGGACTAGGAAAATGGTTTGTTAGCATCTTTCTAAATTCACCCAGAATTAATAAGTTTTATTCATTAAGATATTTATGTACATCGGACTGCCCACATCTCTGAAGATATTTTAATATAAGAATTAGTTTTACAAAATTTCTTAACATATTTTACTCGTGAGCAGGCTAACAAAGCTACCGACTTGCATCCTAAAATGACCATTGAAGCTGAGAAAATGCTGTCAAAACTTCGAGTAAGTATATTAATAGTTCTTGTACATTAATGGCTTGTCAACAAATGCCTACAATGTTAAAATCTTTTAATCAATGCTATCTCCAAAATCTATTCAAATAACAGACAGCAAACCATGTTCATAGAGAGACAACCTAGGTCATTTGGGGACTATGTTACAATTCTATTTCAATAATTTGCTTGAGCTTAGGGTTCCTTAGCAGTGGGAGGAACCCGAAGAACCCGGAGAAAACACACAAGGTTAGGCAGGCATCCATTATATTTCCTGTTTATTACAACCCTCTTATACAAATGACGAAGTCCAAACTACTGATCTATGACGACATCGCACTCTGATGTATGACGACCTCTCACGCTGATTATGAATGCATCTCACTCTGATGTATGATGACGTCTCACACGACGACATTGTTCTCTGATGTATGACCATGTCTCACTCAGATGTTATGACCATGTCTCACACTGATGTACAACCATGTTCTCACTCTGATGTAAGACAGCATCTTACTCTGATGTATGACCATGTCTCACTTTGATGTATCACCACACTGATGTGTCACCACAACATCTCACTCTGATGTATGAGAGCATCTCACACTGATATATAATGACAACATCTCACTCTCATGTATGACGACATCTCACATTGATAATCTCTTCTAAACTCAACTACACACCAGACTGAGAAGAGGTTTCAGATGAGTTATTTGCCCCTGAATTTAATTATCTCCCTTATTTGAATATGGCGATTATTAGTTTACTGTTGTTGGAGATTTTCCTATTTTTACAAACATGTGACTAAACTTTACATAGCCCTTATTTCCCAAAGTGACACACGCTTGTAAAATACTATTTACAGACTGGGAGTAGTGGGAGAGAAATGATTTGGGATGATTTATTTGTCCCGGAATTTGATTATTTCCCTTAAATCAATATGGAGATAATAGACTTTTAGGCATAATAATTAGCCTCAGGTTAATGTTGTTGGAGATTTTCCTATATATACAAGCTTTATAACCCTTACTTCCCAAACTGACAGGTGCTTGTAAAATACTATTTAGGGACTGAGTGATTGGGGATGAGTTATTTGTCCCTGAATTTGATTATCTCCCTTATGAACACAATAGACTTTAGGCATGTTACTTATCCTTTAGAAGCTTAATGTTATTTGAGACTTTCTCTTTTACAAGCAAACACCTGTGAGCCACAGACTGACTATAAGATGGACATTTTGTATATAATTTCTCTCTATAATCAATTTATTTTTCTCTGATTGTTAATAGCAACTGCAGATGGAAATGAGTGATATGCAAATTGAAATGAGAAGAAAGGACACTAATTTATGTGTCACTCAAGCGGAGAAAGAGAGAACACAGGAAATCCTTTTGCTACAAGAAGGTAAGGACATTTTTTTTTTAAATTTTGGAGCCAAGTAGAGTAAGGTACTGACTCACTAACAAGGAGATCCTAATAATGTTAACTGAGAAAGTTCCTTGGGATTTTCCAGCTTGGTTTAGTGGTACTGGAAGGGAAAATTGTCTAGTCTTTCGGATGGGACAGAAAACAAGATTTTGTGTACATCTTTATTAGCTTGATTGGTGCAGAAAAGTTAAGCTCCATTTCATTTTGTTTCACCACCTTCATTAGCTGAGGGGGGCTGAATGGTTAGCGTGTGCACGTTGTATCATAAGGTCTGTCATTGAGTCAACTGGCGGGGTTTTGATTTCCCAGTTGTAAGTGACAAGGAGTAGGGTCGCCTGTCTAACTTCGTGGGTTTTCTCCTGGTCTTCTGGTTTCCTCCCCTTCCTAAAGAACCCTACGTGCAAGCGAATTATTGAAATAAAATTGAAACATGTGTTAGTCCCGAAATGACCTAGTTTGTGTCGAGTGGACCTTAAACTCCCTAATGGTCCGTTGCCAGCCCCTACATCCTGCACCACTGACAAGTGTTAATTATGCCGGAAAATCCCAATGAACTTTCACGGCCAACACCGTTATCGAACACAAGACCTCCAGGTCAGGTTAGCGTTTTGCTAACTGAGTCACAACGGCTTCCCACGCAACCACTTCAAACATTTTATCACTCAATTTTTCAGAGTCTCGCCATCGAGATAAATTAGTTATGACAGACGAAATAATAACCTTGAAGAAGATCAAGGACAGGTTAGAAATGGAAGCAATTCGTAGAGATAAACAACTTTTAGAGGCTAAGACCGAGGTGGATAAAAGTACCACCGCTTTACGTAGCGCAGAGATGAAAATAACTTGTCTCAAAAATCAGGTATGTTTCTTTTTCACCAGAATTAAAGCAACATCTTTTTCTGAATTTTAAAGCCTCTCATCCAAAATTTCCATTTTTCATACAATGACATATTTTCTTTACAGCTTAAAGATGCATTATGTAAGAGCTAAATCTGCCTACTGAAGGTCTTTATTTTGGCTTCAAATATTATATAAATTATTATTTAGGACAAGTCTATAATCAATTCTCTAGACCATTGGATGACCGAGATTGAAATGGATTAGAACACCCGCAAGATTTGAAAATTTATATGCAGTTGCTACGATAATTAACAATCTAGGCTGTCTGGTCAAAACTTCAAACATAGATAATTTCGCTCAGAATAAAGTAATTTGAATGAAATTTTCCATGTATTCAATTTTTAGTAGCTATTTTTGAACTATTATAGCAAAAACGAACAGGTTTTTTTTATCTAACTCTTACATATTGCATCTTTAACCTATTAGAGCAAGAACGCCAGCTCCTTATCTCAAGAACGCCAGCTCTTTGTCTCAATCTTACATAATGCATCTTTAAACTATTATAGCAAGCTCTTTATCTAAATCTTACATAATGATTATAATGCATCTTTAATTTATGGTAATATTTTCTTTAATCCCCAGTTGGACCAAAGAACAGAACAGCATCAGTTGACCCAACTTGCGCTGGAGGAGAAAAGATCAGCTGTTTTATCACTGGAAGCTCAACTACGTGATGTTGAAGATAGATATTATAATAATACAGTTGTTGTACACGATAAAGTCACTCAAGATTTAAGAGTGAGTAGAAATATGAAATAAAATGGGGTTTAAACTCCTATTGTTCTGCTCCTACTGGGCTAATGAAGACAGGCATATGCCATGCTATGAGGACATTTTGCCCAGACAGTGTGGAGCTATGGCCTACCCTTATATCGAATTCCAACTGTCAAGGGTACTTTTACGTGCATGTACCTGCCAGTCCCGCCCTCCTACACCAATGACAAGGGGGAACCATGCTGGAACTTTCTTGGCCAACACTGTGTTCGAACTCGGGACCTCCAGGCTAGCGAGCCAATGTCCTACTCGCTGACCCATCATGGCTCCTGAGTAGAAATATTTATCCATTTTGGCTCACAAACCAGGACTTTCCTTGGTTTGATCCTGGTTCCTTTTGCAACGATCTCTGAATGGACAAAGTTCTCTGACAGTTCATGTCCGTCCTTATTGCTGCAATATTGAAAAGTACTGCTCTACTTTTGAAGTCCTTACCTTCTTTTTTTTTACCGTAATTCTTCTTTGTTCGCCAAAAGGAATCATTACTTGCAACATCTGACACAAAATTCCACACTAAGGGGGGTTGGATAGCCGAGTGGTTGTATCATAAGGTCTGTCATTGAATCAGCTGCTGTGGTTTCGATTCCCTGGTTGTACGTGACAAGGAGTAAGGTCACCTGTCCAACCTCATGGGTTTTCTCAAGGTCCACCTGTTTCCTCTCACCGCTAAAGACACCAACGTGCAAGCAAATTATTGAAATAAAATTGAACCATATGCTAGTCCCAAATGTACCTACAGTTTGTGTGGCTAGTGTGGAGTGGATGTTAAACCCCATTTTTCTCTCTCCGTCCTTCTCTGTTGTTTTTTTGTATCACAAGTTGTAAACATTTCTAAATGGGTTCGTTTTAACTTCCATATTGTATAAATCAATGTTTGTATTCATTTACAGGATGAAATAGCATTTTTACGTCAAAAGTTGCAGGATCTTGAACAATCAGCAGAGAAAGATAGATTCATGAAAGAGAAATTATCTGATGAAAATACCAGCCTTTCTCGTGAAAAAACTTGTACAAGTTTTAGAGTATCTGAACTACAGAAACAATTAGATAGAGTAAGATGCTAGAAAAATATATTGTTCGTGGGTACTTAGCATACCCTTGACTTTCATCTTCATCTATTAGTGCTGGTTGGATGGGCGATTAGTTAGCATCTGTGCGTTGTATCATAAGGTCTGTCATTGAGTCAACTGACATGGTTTCGATTCGCCAGTTGTACATAACGAGAAGTAGGGGGGTCGCCTGTCCAACCTCGTGGGTTTTCTCTGGTTCCCCCCCCCCCCCACTGCTGAAGACCCCTACGCCCAAGTGAATTATTGAAAGTTTGTGTCGAGTGGACGTTAAACCCCATTTCTCTCTCTCTCTCTTTCTTTGTTTACTAACTAATATAAACATTATGTATAATCTGTTTATATTATATATTGTTGACAAGTATGATTTGTTTTGTTTTTTTAAGGAGAGATCTCTACTGGAGAAAACAGAACAACGTCAAAGAGAGAATATTGTCGAAATGGTTAGTTTGCGAGAATCAGAAAAACAACTGAAGATGCAGCTAGAACAACAGCAGGTGCAGCTACAACGTGAACAAGAAAAAGCTCAGAGTTATCTTGAACAGGTAAATTAAAAATATATATCTGATGATTTCCTGGCTAGGTTTTCAAATTTAATAATTTATTTTTTTGAGTTTTCAAGGAAACAAATTTACAAAGTACTTGGGCAACATATAATAAAGCACATTGTAACTTCAATTTGCTTGTGAAATTCAGTTGATAAACTAAAGGTTATACTATTTTTAGACCAGGTCTTTCCATTAATTATGCCTGCCTTTCCATTTATTATGCCTGCTTTTACTATTTTTAGACCAGGCCTTTCCATTTATTATGCCCGTCTTGCTATATTTAGACCAGACCTTTCCGCTAATTATGCATGCCACTGTTTTTAGTTGACAAAACAAGAGAAACTGTCTGGTTCTGTAGAAATACAACTGAACTCCACGAAACTGAACTTATCTGAAACGGAGAGTTTACATCAGGCAGCCGAGTCCGAGAACAATCAACTACGCAAAGATAAGATGTTATTGGTTGATCATGTAGCAGATTTACAACGCCAGGTAAGGGTTTTAAAACTTTATTATTCATCTGATGGAGGGTGCCACAGTGGCTCAGTGAGTAAGTCAGTGGCTCACTAACCAGGAGGTCCGGGGTTCAATCCCTTTGTTGGCCGGGACAGTTCCTCAGGATTTTCCAGGGTGGATTCCCCTTGCCAGTGGTACAGGACCAAGGAACCTATTTAGATGGTATAAAAAACTGAGGTCCACGTACGAATTGGTGTGCACATAAAAGAACCTTTAACAGTCTGAATTTAGATGCTGTCTGGGCAAAAATTCCCTCACAGCACTGTGTGTTGCCAATGCCCATCTTCATTATCCGGGTCAGTGCAGAAAAGTAAGATGTTAAACCCCATTTCATTTCATTCATTGATCTGAAAATGAAATGAAATGGGGTTTATCCTACTTTTCTGCCCCAACTACAGTGTGCTTTGAGTAAGTATGAGGGAAATTTTGTCTGGACAGAAAACTACGGCCTACTCATATTTTGAATTCCACCTGTCAACGTTTGTTTTATGGCATGCCCAAAAAATTTCGGGATGTCATTTTTTTATTACCTTCATCCATATATAAGTCGAAACGGAGTATAAGACGAATGCCGGACTTCTGCTGAAAAAAGTATCAACTTATAGTATTATACCCCGAAAAATACATTAATGTTGGAGCAAAATTACTGGCGTGAATTTGAAACACTTACGGGTCGGCACGCTTTAATTCTATTGTATTACAACAACACATAATTCTGTAGGAATATTACTGACATAAATTTGTAAAGCATACGGGAATTAAATAAGAAAAATCACGAGGTGCACCTATTTTTTATTAGGTACGAATATGAATATTTTGTTGACACATGATTTTTAATTGTGGTCTGAATCCGCCTGCTTAAAGTTGTGCCCCTTTATTTTCGGTAAAAATGTCTGACAAGAAAAAATGTTAAACCAGAATTCTGACACCAATGTGTATATGGGACCTCGTTTTTTTTTTTGTCACATTCAAAGGGGAAACCATGCCAGAAAAATTTTGAAATAGCAACTCTGATGCCAATGTGTACATGGGACCACGGTTTTTCGTCACATTCAAACAGGAAACCATTCCAGAATTCCCAAGGAACACTCTCAGCCAACACCGGGAGCGAACCTGAGGCTCATTCATCTGATGGATCAATACTAACAAGTAGTGGTCACACATAATCCTGATTTTACTTAAATATTCCATTCAATGGAAATGATGAATTTATGGACTATTTATTTTCAGATTGAAATCAAGGATCGTGAAATTATGACTCTCCAGTCAGAAGTTAGTTCTTTAGATGCTAGAATGCAGGATCTAGATTACCAGAAGAACTTAGAGAGTACCGTTCATAGTCAGAAATGGCATGAGTTTGGTCGTTTAGCTGAGAGTATGAGAAGTTTGTCCACAACCATGGCCAGATCAGCTTCCCCCACGCAAAGCCAAAGTAAAATACTTCAATATTAAGACATTTTAGGATTATTCAAATTTAGTCACATCTGACTCGAAAGTTTTTTAAAATATTTAAAGTAAACTAAAATACTTCAACATCAAAGCATTTTAGGATTAATCTAATTTAGTCTGGTCTGACTCCCAAGATTTGAAACAGTTTAGATAAATAAAAATTAAGATTTAAGAAGATTGATATATTTATGATAAAGATGAAAGAAAATAAGGGTTTATGAAGTGATTGAATGAAAACAATGGGAATTATCCCTAAAAAAATATTGTATTATAAATATAATAAATTTGTAATTGTTTAAAATTCAGAAAACTGCAATTCTTTTTAATATGAAAATGAAAGCTTTAACTTTAGAATTGATTTTATTTTTTACAAACCAACTACATGTATTATTAATAACACCTGCCTTTTATTTCCATGTTTTTACCAAATAATTATTTTAATTTACCGTGTGAAAGTTATTATAGTCTTTGTAAAACATTTGTATTGCGGTTATACATGGGCCTCTTACTTCGATATTTTTGCTAGTAAAATATTCCTGGGTTTAATTTTTATCAAGTTATGGGAGTTATATTGAAATGGGCTCCATCCTCCATCACCCCACAGAACGTTATAAAGTAGTAAAGAGGTTTTTATACCAAACATACAAATTTGATACAAGTTTCAAAATAAGGTCATATAGTGAGTTGGGTGTATGTAATGCTGCGGTGTGATTTCACTGTAACAGAATCATGAGCCCTCAGATATAACAGTTGAGTGGCCTGTAAAACTGAGGTGGTTGTTGAGTGAGGTTTCACTGTAATTGATTCATTAGCCCTCTGGTATAACAGTTGAGTGGCCTGTAAAATAGGGGTGATTGTTGAGTGAGGTTTCACTGTATCTGAATCATGAGCCCTCTGATATAACAGTTGAGTAGCCTGTAAAACTGTTGTGGTTGTTGAGTGAGGTTTCACTGTATCTGAAACACAAGTCTCGTGTTGTGATACTACAGTTGTGTTATGTAGTAAATAAACCCTATTATGTGTATCTGTGATATTTTTATTTCATAATTATATGTGTTAATTTGTTTTTCCTGTCTGTTAATTGTAATGTTAATTGTACATAAAATAAAGAGTTAATTTATTGTAATATTTTTAAGAATAATGACATACTTATGAAATGAAAACTTTTAAGATAAAAGGACCTTATACATGAAAACTTACATTAAAATTTAAGATAAAGGTACCTTATTCATGAAAACTGCTAATTTAATTACAATCAATATAAAACTTGTCATCCTTGTTCCTCGGATGACAGACTTCGATTTTTGAAATAATCTCATGGTTGCTTTCTGGTTCATATAGTTTTCACCAATGCTGTTACATACAGATTATTTTTGTGTCTTTTTTAAGAACAGGGCAGTCCACATATTTATAGATCCAGTATCTAGTTATATACAATAAGATCAGTATTATTAAAACTAAGTCAAATAGAACATCCAAATATGATAACATTTTTTACTTGGGATCAGAGTTTTATCATTGATAGTCAACAGTCACTTACTTCTGGGAGTAATATGTTCAATTAGTCAACAGTGACCTATAGCGAGGCTTAGAGCTCAGGTTTATTGACAAACTTTCTCAAGAACTGTCATCTGGGCCGGACACATTTTCTCACGAACTTACATAATTTCCCAAGAACTGCCACCATTTCATTCTTTGCCATATTGATCTATGCACATGACACCGTTTAAGAATAAACTTAGGAATCTTGCCAATAATATCTATAAAGATTTAATTCTAGAATCTATTTAATACTCTGTTACTTAAACCATACATTTTATAACATACAAATTTGGTATTTTTTCATGTGTGATTTAGAATGTTATTATTTCGTTATATTGAATTCATCAAGCGATTAAGATTTGCTATGGATTGCATTTTTGTTATCAAAATGATCATTTTAGAATCTTGTTATTCAATTCATCAAGATGTTAAGATTCACTATGGATTTTATTGTTGTCGAAATTTATCAAATTTCAGAGAAGTAATTCAAGTATGTAACTTAGATATCAGTTGATAGTGATTAAATTTGTTAATGGGGTCAGGTTTTCCACCCATAATTGTATAATGAACAAAAATTGCATATCTGAACTATGTCCATTGACACCTATTTTTTATTACATACGAACGAATTTGAATATTTTGTTGACACATGATTTTTAGTTATGGGCTGAATCCGCCTGCTTAAATAACGATAAGAGTTATGCCCCTTTATTTTCGGTAAAAATGTCCAACAAGAAAAAAATTGAAATCCCAACACTGTTCCATTCAGTTATAATACATAGAGCACATATATACCAGTTTAACATTCCATGTATTCATATAGTTAATATATTATTCATATACCACTATCTTATTCGACTGTGATATGTCTCAGAATATACAAGAAATACCAAATATAATGAACATAATATTCAAATTATTTTATTTTACATATTATTCAAATATTGAAATATAATATTCAAAACACTATTTTTGATGTATACTGAATAACTTATATCACGTAATATTCAAAATATATTGAAACATAATATTCAAAGCACTTTTTATAATGTATACTAAATAACTTATATCGAGGTTATATTCAAAATATATTGAAACATAATATTCAAAACACTATTTATAATGTATAACTTGAGGTAATTATTCAAAATATATTAAAACATAATATTCAAAGCACTATTTATAATGTATACTGAATAACCAGTATATTGGAAATATAATGTAGACTTACAGCCATATACTGAATTAATAGAAATACCAAATATATTGAACATAATATTCAAAATATATTGAATAATATTCAAAGAACTATTTATCATGCATACTGAATAACTTATATTGAGATATTATTCAAAATATATTAAACATAGTATTCAAAGAACTATTCAGAATGCATACTAAATAACTTATATTGAGATATTATTGAAAATAAATTGAAACCTAATATTCAAAGCACTATTTATATTGTATACTGAATAACTTATATTGGAAATATAATGTAGACAGTAAAAAACCTATTAGTCTTTTATATAACAGCTCTGTATGAATATTTATGATATATTGTTATTAAACTTTAACTATCAGAACTTGTGTTAATTTAATTTCAACAGGGGGCCACGTTGGCTAAGTGAGTAAGACGCTGGCTCGCTAGCCTGGAGGTCGCGGGTTTGATCCGGGTTTTGGCTGTGAATGTTCATCGGGATTTTCCGGCGTAGTTTCCCCCTGTCAATGGTGCAAGACGGAGGGCCGGGAAGAATTGTTATATAACCCGCGTTCTGGATGATGTGAGGGGTTAACCAATGAAATGGTCTGTTACGGCAAGTTTTTGGTGTGAGGTACAGGGAACTGTGGGTAACTCACTAGAAACATCAATGCTGATTGGTATATCAGAGAGTCAAAAGCCGCTCATATGACCTCCGACGCGACCTTCAACTACAACCGGTCAGATCTTCATGTAGTGTAGGCCATCAAAAGTATAAAAAAACGAAACAAAATATACATCTGTATTTTAATCAGACTGATGTTTGTAAAAACTGAACGGAAGTTTACAAAGGATTCCACAATCCCCCAAGACTTTAATCTGTTTCTAAAAATTAAACTTTAAATATTTAAGTAAACTATGAAATGAAATTAAGCCGGGTTTAATGCCATAACTACCAGGCTAGACAAAGGCCCACACCCCGAGCAGTAGTCTCGCTCCTTTCTTACTGCCAACTTCATGCATTAAAGTGTGTGTGGGGGGGGTAGAGCACAAACCATGTCATTAAGTGTCTTATATACATATAGTATTGTTAAACAGGAGTTAGATATCATCTTTATCAGATGGCATTAATTAAAATTTATGATGGTTCTTAAAGAATGTCACTATGTTCTGTACAATCCTCAGTCTTGACTGATATGATCTAGTTAAATTTCCAAATGGCAAGTGGAATAATATAATCTATAAAACCTTATTACGATATCACTTGATAACATTCTCCGTGGGTGTTATTAGAGATTGCAATTAAATATAATATCGTTAGAGCTGTTAGATTTCCAATGATCTTTAAGGTGCTGCTAATGATATACAGGGGATCTTATTTTTCACTTTACCTAGCCAGGTCTTCCATCCTGACAAGGGTAAGCCAAATAAACTAGCTCCTCCATCCTGACAAGGGGAATGCAGGTCCTCCATCCTGACAAGGGTAAACTAGCTCCTCCATCCTGACAAGGGTAAACCAGGTCCACCATCCTGACAAGGGTAAACTAGCTCCTCCCTCCTGACAAGGGTAAACCACCTCCTCCATCCTGACAAGAGTAAACCACCTCCTCCCTCCTACCATTGGTAATGCAGGTCCTCTATCCTGACGAGGGTAAGCCAGGTACTGCCACCTGATAAGGGTAAACCAGGTAAACTAGCTTCTTGATCCTGACAAAGGTAAACCAGCTCCTCCATCCTGAAAAGGGTAAACCAGCTCCTCCATCCTGACAAGGGTAAACCAGCTCCTCCAACCTGACGAGGGTATAGCACCTCCTTCATCCTAAAAAGGGTAAAGCAGGTCCTCTATCCTGAAAAGGGCAAAGCAGGTCCTCACCCCTGACAAAGGTAAAGCCGGTCCTCCATCCTGACAAGGGTAATGCAGGTCCTCCATCCTGACAAGGGTAAAGCAGGTCCTCCCTCCTGACAAGGCTAAACCTGGGCCCTGTTTCTCGAAAACTTAACTAAAGATAAAATCCAAAGTTTAATAGATACTTCAATTTTGATTGGCTAAGCACTAAAATCAATCTAATATTATCCAATCAAATTACTAAAGGGTAAACCAGGGTGCAAAACCCGAACACAGGCCCTCCTGGTTAGTGAGTCAACACCTTTCTCACCGAGCCACTGTGGATTTCCTGTAAAGTATGGCATCAGCTAAAGGAAGAAGCAGATTATTTTGACGGAATGGGGTTTAACATCCTACTGTCCTGCTCCGGCTGGACTAATGAAGACGGCATATGCCATACAGTAGAACTATAAAAAAACGAAATAAGATCTGTTTTAATCAGATCGTACAGACATAATAAATTAAGAATTCATCGATGTTCGACATCCTCTACACTGTAGACTACAGTGTATGTATAAACTAGATATGGTATTCTTTGCTAAAATCCTTTTACAAATTGTTTAAAGGTGATAAGCCGACAGTAATTAATTTTAACATCAATGGAATGATAAATTTAGCCTCTAAAGCGTCTACAACCAATTGTGGACTAAGGACGAACAGGTTGAGGACAATATAGGACCACATTTCAATATGGGGTGTAAAAAAAGCTGAACAACAAGCAGAAGGTTTGATCACAGTTTATATTGACTATTTATATATAATACACACTCTATATTAATATACATTATTTACAAATCATTCCATTATTCATACACTAATTAATATTCTCTACAGACTAGGATTTCTATATTTATGTATACTGTCTCTGCCAGGATCATTATTTGATCCAGCAGCTACACAGATCTACCGTCCTGTCCAGCCTCTGCTACTCTTTTAAGGGAGTGTTGCCATTCCCCCTCCCCTTTTCTCGTACTATTGTTTTATAATTTACAAATATATGATATTTACCTACAGATTCAAGAGGCAGTCTCACAGAGCTCGGTCTCGTAACACAATTTCACAGACAGATCTCGTTGCCGAAACCTCTCTTTAAACACAATATTATATCAGATTATGGAACCTCAGCATTGGCAAAATTATAACCGTTACCATTAGATACAAGCTCTGGTAACTAACTGATTTCAATAGTCACTGACTAATCATCTATCACCCATCTCAGTGTGCAGACTGCTGGCCAGGTTTAAAAGTTTCAAAAGAGTTCAAAACACCTTGTTGTTCTTCAATAATTGCCTCTATTTAGGCCAAACCTATTTAAATTTGGGGGGTGGTCTAGTGGTTTAACATGTGCGTGGGAAAACCTCGTGGGATTTCTACAAGTCCTCCCACTATTAAAGTTGAAGACGATGATGGCATCATGCATTGTAAACTGTCAAATTTCTTTAACAGGAACCTGGCAAACCCCCTCCTGCAAATATTCCCGGATCCATCCCTTCATGGTTCACAAGACCTATAAAGTGGCTAATATCTACAAAGAACTAATAACTGATTTGTTTTGGCTTTATTATAGCACCATAGTAATTGGAGTTCACACGATTCACACAGATTGGCTCAATTTAGAGTTTAATAATAATTAGAGTTCACATAATCAACACAACTGGCTTTAGTTTAGACCCCTCACTATAACTAATATTTCGTTTCGTTTTTTTTTATACTTTCGATGGCCTACACTACATGAAGATCTGACAAGTTGTACTCAAAGGTCGCGTCAGAGTTTGTATGAACGGCCTTTGACCCTATGACATCAGACATGGATTAATCTATCAGTGTTGACATTTCTAGTGGTTTACCCACAGTTCCGTGCATCACATGTGAAGAACTTGCTGTAACAGATGGTTTCATTGGCTAATCCCTCATGCCATCCAGAACGCAGGTTATTAAACAACTCTTCCAGATCCTAGTGTAGTACAGACAAATAAAACAAAATTTTGAACTATAAAAAACGAAACGAAATAGGATCTGTGTTTTAATCAGATTGGACTATAATCAATCAAGTTTTCTACACACATATGTTAATCATCTAAGTCCTCTTTTTTTGATACCGGCGGTGCTGGTATAGTTTTCATTGTATGAGTCCAGGTTGGTGTACGTTTTTCTATAAATGATTGTATTCCTTCCTGACCATCTATCAGTTGTAAGTTATTAGCCATGATAGCCTCTGTTAATCTACAATAATACAACATGGTGAGGAGTAAATAAATATCTATTGAAATCCTGTAAAAATCAACAGACTTTATAATTTCCTTTCAAAGATAGTTATAGATAGGCCATTGGAGTAAACTTGTTTTGGAGCTTATTAAATGATGATCAAAAGATGATCTGATATCAAAGATATATGTGAGTCAAGGCATAATATTTTAAGTATTTGAAATAACAGGTGTTACCATATAATACAAATCAACCATAAATATAACGGGAAGTTGAAAATTAAAAAAAAAAATCATTAGTTTACACTTTACAGCAATTTACAGGGCTTTCAATTCAAAAATATTACCTGCCAGACAATCTTTGACATAGTTTTTTTTATGTTGTCATAGTAAGATAACTTTTTTAATGAAATGAAGATTTTTCGCATCATCCCAATGTTTATAGGAGCTAAATCACTAATAATAGGGACCTAGAAATTGACACAAATTGGCCACAATACATATAATAATGTAATATGAATGTATATGAACTGATTTACATTCAATCGTTTCCATTTTTACTCTAATTTCAAATCAGTTATGTTCGGCCTTTTGCACATAAGAAGTATAATGCAACTGCATTTATTTTAAGGTTAAATTCTAATTTTATGGCAATGATATACAATGATAGTATATTTCCTGTTCAATAAATAAATATCACCCAAAAAAAATTATATATGTAACAATCATATTACCTGTAGGCTTCTCGTCTTTCAAGTTTCATCTGTTCATGAAAACTTGTTTTACCAAGCGCCACCACACTTTTACTTGTTTCACATATCTTTTTGGCAATCTTCATTGTCTGTAAGCAATATCAAAACAGTTAAAGTCTCTCGAGCATGAATTTTGCAGAAAATATCTAAATTTTTATGGCTTAATATGCTAAAATCTACTAAAATTGATTATTAAACAATTAATTAAGAAAACAAAACCAAAATATCAAAGGCAGATATTTATAGGTGACGCTGGTTTGTTTATATCACTGTTCTTAATCGACTGATTTTTGTCAGCTTTAGTCGCTTCAAGTTCAATCAAGCTGATTGTTAAAACAATGAACCGGTCACTATGGTATCATAAATCAATCTACTTTCAGCTAAATTACAACATGTTAATTATTACTTGTTAATTAAGAAGTCAATAAGACTTTATTTCATCTACAAAGGGTGCCAAATGTTTACAAAAATATATTTGTAAATATGAAACAGAATTGAACTGATATTCTTTTCATAAATTAAACTTTCACAATAGTTACAATACTCATATTCCATGTACAGATTCACAGTCTGATTAAAATACAGATTTATATTTCGTTTCGTTCTTTTATACTTCCGATGGCTTACACTACATGAAGATCTAACCGGTTGTAGTGGAGGTCATATGTGCAGCTTTTGACCCTGTGACATCAGACATTTGATTAACCAATGTTTTTAGTAACAGATATTTCATTGGCTAATCCCTCACATCAACCCGAACTCAGGTTCTTTAACACCTCTTCCAGATCCTAGTGTAGTAAAGACAAATGAAATGAAATCTTGAACTATAAAAAACGAAACGAAATAGGATCTGTGTTTTAATCAGATTAGGAGATTCAGAAATATTATAGTTGACGAGGATGCAATTTTAAGTGAGAGAAATCTAACCTCTTCATGAACTTGATCTTCTGGTAAAACTTTACTCACTAAACCATGTAATAAAGCATCTGAAACAAATCATATTCATCAACTTTACTCACTAGACCGTGAAATAAACTAGTCTTTTCTGGTGCCCCAGTGGCTCAGAGTATAACATGCTCGTTCGCTAGCCAGGAGATCCCTGGGGAGATCTCATTGTTGAGCCAGAAAGTTCCCCAGGACTTTCCCGATTAGTATCCCCTTTGCTCACAGCACAATGTATGGCGTATGTCTGTCTTCATTAGCCCAGTCGGTGCAGAACAGTAGGACGTTAAACCCCATTTCATAATCATAATCCACCATTTTATTAAGTAATAAGTGCCAGAAGTGAATCTTTCAGATCAATGAAATGAAATGGGGTTTAATGTCCTACTTTTCTGCTCCCACTGGGCTAATAAAGATGGCATACACCATGCAGTGTCCTACATCCTACACCACTGACAAGGGGAACCACGCCGGAAAATCCTGATGAACTTTCTTGGGACCTCCAAGTTAGCGAGCCAATGTCCTACTCACTAAGCCATCATGGCCCCTGAGTAGAAATAACTTTCAGATTAACAATAACATTCCAAACTATAAAAGTAATTGTGGTTATAATATATTATTCTGTATGAGGAGATCTACCTTGCGCTGAGATAGGTTTACCCGTAAATAACATCTCCATGGCGATTTTCCTTGGTACAGATCTGCCTAGTGCTACTCCTGGGGTAGAACAAAATAAACCAACATTCACACTGAAAAGAATTGAACTTCATGTGAGCAAGCAATTTTATCTTTCATCCTATTTAGTATTTCATTTGACCCCTGTACAGGTTTAGTGGCCACACTACAGCTGTCCCCGAGGCTGAAATTTGGGATATGAGGGAAGCTCAAGCCCAGAAATGACATAGAGGAAGAGAAAAATGGAGCTTATCATCCACTCAACACAAACTAGGTCATTTCAGGACTAACATATGGTTCAATTATATTTCAATAATTCAAAAGCGTCTCTTTAGCAGTGGGAGAAAACAGAGAACTAGGAGAAAACCCACGAGATTGGACAGGTGACTCCTTGTCACGTACAAGCGGGGAATCAAAACCTCACCACTTACTTGACACAATGAAAGACATTGTGAGCTAATGTGCATGTGTTTAACCATTCTGTCACCATATCCCCTGGAAGTGACATAGTCCTGGTTCTATTCCACTACCACTTCTGGAATTATGCTACTTTCGATTTCAATAAACTCTTATAAGGGAGTGTCAGAGGGCTTTACCCATGTAATGCTTGGTAAACAGCCAGTATAGAACATTACTGGAGTTATACTACTTTCGGTTTCAAGAAACTCGTATAAGGGAGTGTCAGAGGGCTCTACCCGTGTAATGCTTGGTAAACAGCTAGTATAGAACATAACTGTACAAAAAATAGTATAAATTGGTTGAAGACTGACCCAGGAGTAGCAAACTGAGCTTTATCTGAAGCAACTGCAATATCACAACTAGCTACTAACTGACAACCTGCAGCTGTAGCTAAACCTACAATAAATATTATAGATGGTTGAAAATGTCTGAGGTACATGTAAACAAAGTATGGCTAAAGTCGACCTACAGACAAACTTTGAAGTTTAAACACATACATGTATACAGATATTTCTTGCATAAAAGATAAATTATTAACAATTTCAAACATAAATCAACCGTTTCAAACATAAATCAACCGTTTCAAAAATAAATCATTTCAAATATAAATCAACTATTTCAAATATAAATCAACCATTTCAAAAATATATCAACCATTTCAAATATAGATTAACAATTTCAAAAATAACTTTATAAAAAATGTAATAATTCAATAAAATTGATGGCATATCAGCATCACTTTACTTACCATAAACTTCAGCAATAACAGGAACAGTCATTTCCTACAAAACAATTCAAAATTTAAAGTACGTGTTAAACATTCGGCCATCCAACCCCCCAAATTTCTATAAACTTCAGGCCTATCAGATGACAACTTTTGTCGCTAGAGTTCATAGTGGTTATATGATGAAGAATGAACCTTGTCCACATAGTAGGCTAAAAGAAATATAATACGGACTGACTGATACAGTTACAAGTATATCAGATGTTGGAACCTGATTTCCTTTTTTGCGCTCCTTTGCGCTATCACCCTATAAACTGGACTTGGCCTCTCTATCACGTCTGGTCTGTTTTGTTTTGGCAAGTTTTTTTTAGAGAAACACATATCACCCCTAGGTTGAAGCTAAAAAAAGGAAGAGAATTAACACCCTAAACACGGTTAGATCTAAACAATTAAGGCCACCTGCAGATTTCGTCATGGTTGAGAGATATAAATAGGGTTAGGGTACGTGATTGTGGGTTAGGGTAAGGGTTAGGGCTAGATCTAGGGTTAGTGCTAGCACCCTACTTACATCTCCTGACCTTGACGAAATCTTAATATTTACCTTAATATTTAGACCCACCACCCCTACCCGGAGCCAACTGGTTATAAAATAAAACATCTTACCTGAAGTAATGACATCACATAAGTACATGAAGCAAAGACTTTCTCATGATAATGTCGGCCTTCTTTAGCTGTCTGTAAAAAGGACAAAGGTCAGTTACTTTATTATTGTTGGTATAAAATTATATGTTTGTTTTGAATCTTTAAACTTCAGTCATTCATTTATCCCAACGACAACTAGTAAATGAGCAGAATCCATTCATTTTGCAATATCAACCACTATTTCTTACAAACACAATTAGACCCACGGTGGCACAGTGAGAAAGGTGCTAGCTCTTTAATCAGGAGGTCTCGGGTTTTCTCTCAGGATTTTTTGGTTTGGTTTCCCCTTGTCAGCGGTGCAGGATGGAGGGCCTGACTAAAAAGTGTCTAGTTGTTCGGATGAGTAAAAAAAATGATGTTCAATGTACAAATCCGTGACAGTTGGAATATGAAATAAAGAGTGGGATGTAGTGCTGCTGTCCAGGCTAAATTTCCCTCATAGCACACTGTATGGTGTATGCCCATCTTCATTAGCCCTCTTGGTATATAACAGTATACCGATAAATCCCACTTCATTTATTCCAAAAATAATTGGATGATTTCAACTACGAGATATTATAGTTAAATGAAAATCATTGCTGAGGAAACGAAATTTAAAGGGGCATTATGTAAGATTTAGATAATGAGCTGGCCATTCTCGCTATATTTCAAGAATAGATAATGCAAAATTTTGGGCACCCCAATGATCAAGTCTTGGGCGCCCAACCAATCATATGCGGCATTATGCATTATGTGCGGTCCAACAATCAGATATTATAAGGCGCTCCACCATTATGGGCGCTCCTTGGGATAAGGCACCCCACAGATCAAGCCGTTTTGGGCACCACATCAATCAAGTTGTGGTGTTAATCGTGTTAGTCATTATGAGACGCCTCACCATTTGAGGGGCGCCTCATATATAACGACATCATTGGCGAGGCGCCAATAAAACCAAGTGACATTGGTTGTGCGCCCCTACTTAAATTCAGAGCTACCCTATGGCATCAAGAGTTGATTATGGTCTGGATAAGTTAATTAATGTCTAATTAATAATTTAGATAACATTTCAGGCCTAAAGAAAGACCTGCAATAGGCTGATTTATCTCTTACATAATGTATGTTTAATGAAATTTATAACATCCAACATGATTGATTAAGACATGAAAGTTAAAGAAGCAGTACCGGGTATATAAAAAATATTTATAATAACAAACCAGTTCTTTTAGGTCATGACCTGACGAAAATACAGGTCCATTAGCTGTTAATATGATTACTCTTAAATCTTTACTCTTTTTGGATAAATCTTGCCACAGTGTTTCTAACATCTTCAACGATAATGCATTCCTTAAATAAAACAACAATCAAAATTAATAATTATTTACCAATATTTACTTTTTTAACTAAAAAATGGTATAATGTAAATGTACAAAAACTATTTGTCAGCTGAGAAATGGTACCAGGTGCTCTTGAAAGACTGGAGCCACAGTGGCTAAGAGGGTAAGACGCTGGCTCGCTAGCCAGGTTGTCTTGGGTTGGTTCCTGGTGTTGGCCAAGAAAGTTCATCGGGGATTTCCGGCGTGGTTTCCCATTGTCATTGGTGCAGAACGGAGGGCCTGACGAGGACAGCTGTCTAGTAGTTTGGATGGGATGAAAATCTGAGGTCCTGTGTACATACTGACATGCACGTAAAAAATCCCTTGGCAGTTGGAATTTGATATAAGAGTAGGCTGTAGCGCCACCGTCTGGACAAAATTTCCCTCACAGCACACTGTATGGCGTATGCCTGTCTTCATTAGCCCAGTCGGAGCAGAACAGTAGGACGTTAAACCCCATTTCATTTCTTGAAAAGACTAAACATAAGCTATCTGATATGGAATGCTTCTATTGTTTGTTTCTATATTTACTAGTTTAACTGTTCTGTCTACTTAATAGGGTCAGTGTGAAAATAAAAGACTAACACAGGGGTGTAAATAAAAAAAACCCATAAGCATGCCAGGCAATGAATGTACACCAACCACCATCATTTTGAAAGGTGGCTTTTCAAGGTATAGAGTAAACTGATGAGAATTTTGACACGGTTCCTCCTTGTGACCAGTCTGAACAACAGGAGCAGTACAAAGATTGTTGTGTGACTCTGTATTTTGACAAGGTTTGCTCCTTAGGACAAGCCACCAAATCCAAGTCACTTTGTCAAGAGCATCTCAAAAGGTCTGACTGGTGTTTACAAAACTTGTGGATGGACCGACAGATGGACCCCACATGAAATGTGGGCGAATAAAAACACAAACCTAATTTATAAACATTCAATTTATATTTTATGAAACTCTCTTTCTGAAATACTGTATGATATGCCACTAGATAAAAGACACATTATGGGAGATTAGATAAAGAGCTGGCAGTTCTTACTATAATAGTTAACAACTAGATAATGTAAAGGCAATTTGCTGAAAATTTCAGTCAAATTGATCCACTATGAACCAAGAATTAAGGGATTGAAATTTCAGCCTAGTCTCGCTCATCATTGCTAAAGTCGGTATGATAAAAAACATAGTCTTGATTATCCATTTTTTGATTTAATCAGAAGCAGCAGACCGGGTTCTAATCCACTTAATATCGCAGATTAGCGATGTCATCGAGAGTTGAATATTGTCTGGATAAGTTAATTAATGTCAAATTAATAATTTAGATAACATTTCAGGGCTAAATAAAGGCCTGAAATTGGAAGATTTAGTTCTTGCATAATGTATGTTTAAGTCTTATCAATTCTGTAAAATACATGTCATGGTCAAGGATGTTCTTCGTATACTTTGCATCATAGAATGATCGAATACATTACCTCTTTTTGGGGTTGTTAAGACAAATAGTTCGAATTCCATTTTCTTCTGTGACTTTTGTCAAAGATTCTGTTTCTTTTGAATCAGAAGTATATTGACAGACTGCTATTCTTGTATTCTACAACAAAAACACTTTAAATTGTTAGTTTATTTTATTTCAGAGAAAAAACGGGTAAAAATCCATAAGACACCTGAAGGGATTAAATTCAAGATTGTTTATTTGGTTCTAAACCCTTGAAATTGAAATGAAATGTAGTTTAATGTCCTACTTTTTTGCACCGACTGGGCTAATGAAGATAGGCTTACTTACCCCATACAGTGCTCTATGAGGGAAATTTTGCCCAGTACAGCGGTGCTGTGACCTACTCTTACTTCAAATCCCACTATTAAGGGTTCATTTATGGGTGCAGGTCTTTGTTTTTCGTCCCATCTTAACGACTAGGCAGTCACTGTCTTTGCCCAGCCCTCCGTCCAGCACCACTGACAAGGGAAAAACATGCAGGAAAATCCTGAGAAACTTTCTCAGCCAACACCAGAAGCAAACCCGAGACCTCCAGCTGGTTAGCAAGCCAGCGTCTTAAGCACTGAACTCCCACCGCGCGGTCAGATTTATTTGGCTTGTCCTTCGGATGTGGTGTATAGATGTTAACTAATAGTGATTCGGGCTGTAAAAGATACTAAAACTATATAATGTATCCTTTAATTCTAAATCTATAATTCCAAATTAACAGTAACACATCATACTTGGACCAAGAAATCTTGAGAACACAAGAACTGCTGGTTAGCTGGCCAGCATCTTACTTACTGAACCACCACTGCGCCCTAATCACTAATCACTTTAAATGCCGAAAAAGAGGCAGTGTGTTTTCATCTAAAACACCCACATAAAATATTACTGTTAATCACTACTAAATCAGTAAAATAAAAGTAGAAACGACTTGTCACTAAAGTAAAAGTACTAATAATTTGTAGGCATGGAATTAAAAACGTAGAAAACATAAATTCTAACGCACGATAGTTTTATAAATAAATCTATATAATAAAATAATACCTTGAGCGACTGTCTCAACGATAGTTTACAAAACAGGCCTCCTAAAGAACTAAAGCTTGATCTTGTTATTGCAGCCATCTTAACCCACGTGCTTCAACCACGTGCTGTTCTAACCACGACAAATGGTACAGGGCTATTGATTGGTGGTACTTGGCTTTATAAAGGTTGGGTTATCCAGATCCATATTTTCAGTATCGTTATCAATGACTAGTTGATGCCATCTACGTCAAACCCCGCCTTTTCTGTGTGTATCGACCAATCAAAATTTAGTATACAGAAATAACGAGACTTCAACTGTCAATCATTATATCCGGGCAACGAATCTGTTTACTTTCGTTGATGCCTTTCCTTGCCAACTTTGGGATGTAATTAAATGTTTAGACATTTAACGAATTCGTTGGATTTTGTCTGGATTTCCGATGGTGAGATATCTCAGCCAGCCAAACACATATTAAGAGGACGCTGTGATTTTGGTTGACAGCTCGATCGACACTGATGAATTATTAATAATATTTTTTTATTAATAAAATGGAAGTTTTTACGAATAAGGATGCGATGTTAAGCTGGTGTATTGTCATATTATGCGCTGTAAATGCTGTATTCTCGTCACTACAAAGTAAGTTCAGATTTCATTTTTAACTTATTGCTGTCCATAAAATTATGAGAAAAAAAACAAAGCTATGAATGATAATTAGCTAGTATATGATTAAAATACCGGTATGTTTTCATTAATTAATTTCCACCAGGCATACAATCTTAACATTTATTATTTATATGAAATAAAGTATAAAAGCTACTTAGGAATACGATTCGCCCCGTTATTAATTTTCTGTTAAATTATTGTTGTCTATAAAATGAGATAAAAAAGCAAAGCTATGAATGATAATACAATTAAAATACTGGTAGTTTTTATTAATGAATTAGGCTGTGTGTACGGTACGCAGTCAATCTTAACATCATTATCGATTATTATGACATCCATGGATTCAAATAGTTAGATTACGGTATTTGGGAATACTATATATTCGCCCCGTTCTCAATTTTCTCATGTCGTTGACGTTGATGTGATGTTGAGATGAATCCCTAGAGATCTGGAGCACAAAAATTTAATATCAGATCTTGAATAATTGATGACTTCAGGCACTTCACTCTCAATAAATCAATTGATAGTTGGTCTTCATTAATTCATGTTTAGAAATATATTTTTATTTATTAGGTTATTTTTAGAGTTGTATGTTTCAAATACCACATAGTTTAAATGTAGGTGGTAATTGTTAAATATAAGTTTAATTTTTATATCATTTTGAAGTGGGTTATTTTAAATTGCAGATCAGTTTTTTTTGTAATAAATACATGTTTTGAAAATGAACTGAAGCAAAGCAATCTTTCTTTGAAAATAACATGTCAATACTTTTCTTTAAATACCACAGTAAAACACTATCAGTGAAACATATTTAAATCCTTTGCAAGAGTTGTCCCCCATTAGTCTCCAAGAGATTTTTCCTGATCCTTATGATTCACCATCTTTGTATTAAGTTTACACATATGCCGTTTTCTATTTTCAGGTGAGATGTCATCAGAAAGTATAAGCTTTAAGTTTTATAACCTTAAAGAAAATGAGGTAAATTAGCAACAAAATAAAAATATTCTATTCTTTACTTTCTCACCTTCTTGTAACCAAGGTTTCTCCATGTTCCTGAAGCAACTGCAGTTAGTTTTACAACATCTAACCATTGCTGCATTAGTCTGAAATTCTCAAACTTATAGGTACGTTATTGTCCTTTATCACAGACACGTGAACGCGTTGTCCAACTAGAGGTTGTGACACAAACACACTCAAATCAAACATGGCAACCTCCACGGGGGTTGGGTGGCCGAATAGTTTAACACATCTGCGTTAGCTAATAAGGTCTGTCATTGATTCAAGTGGCCTGTTTCTGATTCTCCACTTGTACGTGACAAGGAGTAGGGTCACTTGTCCAACCTCATAGGTTTTCTCCTGTTCCTCCAGTTTCCTCTCACTATTAAAGACCCTGGTGTACAAGTGAATTATTGAAATAAAATTGAACCATATGTTAGTCCCAAAGTTACCTATTTTGTGTTTAGTGGATGTTAAACCCAATTTCTCTCTCTCTTTATTGTTTTATAAAATATATTTATTTGTTTATTTCTGCAGTGGACTGAAGATAATACTGTTAAATTCACAGATATCCTAACAACAGAGAGTAATACATATTGTTCTGTAATGCCTTCAGATTGTGGACTCACCTATTGGAACCAATCTTATATGTAGGTCAATTTTAACATATTTATAATTTGTTTTTTTCTTAAAGGGTCCGGATTCAGTATCCTCAAATAATGAACAGTGGTAATGACTGGATAAAAACGGAATTGCCTCTCCCTCCTTCAGGTCATCAAATTTATTGACTTTATTTGACAGTATTTTTAATGTTTATTACTTGCTATGGTTGTGTGTCTTCTCTGTGGGTTTGTCTATTTGGTTTCTCCTGCACTTATTATGAGAGCAAACTTTTCTGAAATCTTTGAAAAAACACTAGAAATGTATATGACCCATAGATTTAAACTGAAAACATCAGGCCCCGAGTTCCCAAAGCATTCTCAAGAATTTACTCAAAATTGTTCACCTTGTTTTAATTAAAATGTAGACCTTTATAAAACTTTTTTTGTTTTAATGTACCAAATACATCAATAAGAAATTTTTGTGTTTCTGGATCAAAGATATTTCTCATAAACAGTGATTGAAGTTGAGTAAATTCTTAACTTAAGTCTGACAATGCTTTGTGAGCTCGGGGCTTATATGTCAGCAATGGATTAGCAGATTTGTCCCAAATTTTGCATACAAATTAATACAAACATCCCTGTCAAATCAAAAATAAATTTTGCTGACCAGCTGAGATCTTAATTTCACGTTTTCTTTCCTTTTATTTCAGTTTTAATCAATCTAATATTGTTGTTGTCAATGGTTACCCCAAAACAGATGGCAGTGACCTGGAGATTCAGTTTTATATCCTGTTACCTGGCAATGCTAACATATCATCATCATCTTCAACAAGCCATGTCCTCAATAAAATGGCTGCCACATGTATGTTTGATAACAATTCACAACCATGTTCATGTATTTTATGCCCCCATGTGTGTGAGGGGTAGGTGGGTGCATGGGCATCTCACATGGGGGAGTCCGGGGGGGTCCGCCCCCCCCCCCAATTGTTTTTCTGGGGGGGGGGGGTCTGAATATACTTGGACCCCCCCCCCCCACAAAATTTACATAGTAGGCCCAAACTCCTATTTATTTACAATAATTATTAGGATTAGTTAAGATTCTATCTGTATAAAACCTGTATGGTTTACATTGCTAAAATAAAACACAGAGAGAATCATCCTGGAAACATGTGTGAAGTGAAGAGTAACTGTGTTCCATAAAATTGTGTCTAGTTAGCCTGTCAGTAATATTTTGTTAAATGTTTTCTGCCACTTATAACCAAATATTTATCACCCGCTCAGCCAGCAACGTAACCATAATGCCTTGCACGCGGTGTCTTGGTAGACAGCATGGCCACATGAGGTTTGCTTATATTTTTTAGGGTTTTAAAAAATGGGTTAGGGTTAGGGGTTAGGGTTGTGGCCCCCCCCCCAATATATATTGAGGGGGGGGGCAAAAGTTTTAACACATGCGCTTTACATGTAGATCATAAGGTTTGTTATCATAAGGTTTGGGAGCTATGGTGGCTCAGTGAATAAGACGTTAGCTCGCTAACCTGGAGGTTCAGAGTTCAATCCCTGCGGTGGCCGAGAAAGTTCATCAGGATTTTCCCGCGTGCTTTCGCTTTGTCAGTGATGCAGGACAGAGAACCTGGCATAGTTATTCGGATGTGATGAAAAACTAAGGTCCTGTGTACACATTGGGGTTTACGTAAAAGAATTCTTGGTAGTTGGAATTTGATATAAGACTTAAGAGTAGGCCGTAGCACCACTGTCTTCATTAGATCGACCGGAAGAGAACAAATGAAATGGCCTACTCTTATATCGAATTCCAACTGCCAAGGGATCTTTTATGTGCATTTGGTTTTTCATCCCATCCAAAGGAGTAGATAGCATCATATCAGGACCTTAATCCTGCACCAGCAGCACCACTGACAAGGAGAAACCACTCCAGAACATCTCGGTGAACTTTCTTGGCCAGCACCAGGAGCAAACGGTCCACCTCCAGGCTAAGAAGCAGAACAGTAGGATCTGAAACATCAAAAGTGATATCGCAGACATGATTTAGGAGAAGCCGAAACTTGTTCTTGTATATTAAAATGTGATTTGCAATTGTTTTGCTGTCTTTACTTTCAGCCATATTAACTACAAGTAAAGCTAAGTTAGAGTCAGCCATTGGTGAACCTATAACCTATATTGGTGAAGAGTTTTATGGTATACCTATAGATCATGCTACGAACAATATCATGATACCATTAGCTTTTATTATACTGTTTATAGTGGCTGTTGTAGCCATTGGATTAACAGTGTGGAGGTAAGTAATATTATCATGATACCATTAGCTTTTATAATACTATTTATAGTGGCTGTTGTAGCCATTGGATTAACAGTGTGGAGGTAAGTAATATTACCATGAAACCATCAGCTTATATAATACTATTTATCGTGGCTGCTGTAGCCTTTGGATTAACAGTGTGGAGGTAAGTAATGTTACCATGATACCATTAGAGTTTATAATAATATATATTGCTGGCACCACACTGATAATCTGATAATCTGATATTCATGTTTATTTTAACCTTTTGAACCAGCGTGACCATGATGTGAGCAATCGGACATCGCTTGTTTATGTTCTGATTTTACCATCGGCACCACAATAAATGAAATGAAATGGGGTTTAACGTCCTACTGTTCTGCTTCGAACTGGGCTAATGAAGACGGGAATACGCCATACAGTGTGCTATGAGGTAAATTTTGCCCGGACAGCAGCGCTATGGCCTATTCCAACTACCAACGGATCTTTTACGTGCATGCCAATGTGTACCCAGGACCTTGGTTTTTCTTGTCAGGCACTCCGTCCTGCAACACTGACAAGGGGAAACCATGCCGTAAACTCCTGATGAACTTTCTCGGCCAACACCAGGATCGAACCTGGGACCCTCCAGGCTAGCAAGCCAGTGTCTTACTCACTTAGCCACTGTGGCAACTCAAAGTGAGATAATCTAAGAGAACAAGGTTGCAGTGCCTACAATTTAGTACAACAGAGAACACAAGAATTTGAACCTAGAACATTTATGAAAGAGAAAGAAATGGGGTTTAACATGATTCAATTTTATTTCAATAATTCGCTTGTGGGTAGGGGTCTTTAGCTGCAAGAGGAAACCAGAGGACTTGGAGAAAACCCAAAAGGTTAGACAGGTGAACCTAGCAACTCATTATCATATACAAGTCTGATATCAAAACTACATCACTTGACTCAATGACAGACCTTATGATCTAAAGTACATGTATTAGACCATTTGGACACCTAACCACCGTATTTTATGAATGGCTACCAAATATGACAACAAGGCAATGAAAATCTTTAACCTTATTGTCGGGAAACAGTCTGATTAAAACACAGATCCTGTTTCTGTTTCGGAACTGTGGGTAAACCCCTAGAAACATCAACGCTGATTGATTAAGCAATGTCTGACGTCACAGGGTCAAAAGCCACTCGTATGACCCCTGACACGACCTCCCAGTACAACTGGTCAGATCTTCATGTAGTGTAGGCCACCGAAAGTATAAAAAAAACGAAACGGAATATTGATCTGTATTTTAATCCGATTGGTCAGGGAACAGTATCCCAAGATGGAGAATTGGATGGCCGAATGGTTAGCACGTGCGTGCTGTATCATAAGGCCTGTCATTGAGTCAACTGGTGTGGTTTCGAATCCCCGGTTGTACGTGACAAGGATTAGGGTCGCCTGTCCAACCTCGTGGGTTTTCTCCGGGACCTACGGTTTCCTCCCACTGCTAAAGACCCCTAGGCGCAAGTGAATTATTGAAATAAATTTAACCATATGTTAGTCCCGAAATGACCTAGTTTGTGTTGAGTGGACGTTAAACCCCATTTCTCTCTCTCTCTCTCTCCCAAGATATATGTATTTAATTACCTCACCCCATCCTTTATTCTTAGTACTAGGAAAGAGAAACAGAGAAGAAAGTCAAACATTAAAAAGAAACATGTTTCAACTAAGGTTGCACCAACACAACCCAAGTCTCAACTGACCAATGGACATCATGCTAACAATAAAGGAATATCCAATCACAATCAGGAAACGTAAGTAATTTGAAATCTTTATTTTTTTTATGTTTCAGATGTGACGTATTATAGTAAATGGATAATTTAAAAATCGCCACTCAACAGAAGTGCAAACAATTTGATAATTTTTGGTTTAACCCTTTAGAACTTAGACCATCAACCATCCTAACTAGGGCACTCTAGACCGTCCCGTCACATGCAAAGCTATAGTGCACACAAAATATTCCTTTGACCCTTTAACCGCCAGACATTCCATATGACCTATAAATAAAAATGACAAAAAATGTTAAATATTTATACCACTGAATAGCGGAATTCAAGATCTTTCCAAAAATATATAGATTTCTACGATTTATTCTTAAATTTAAAGAGTTACAGGAAATATTTAAAACTATATGCTTTTCCTTGTTGAAACCTCAAAACAATCCGACGGTTATAGGGTTAATACAGAAAGTTTTTCACATATCTCAGGCAGTTTCAGGCGGTCTAAAGAACCGCAGTTTTGGACTGTTTCAGAAGTGTGGTCTGATTATTTGTGTGTATTGTACATAGTTATTATGCTACATCAGATTTACCTGGCACTATCCTAGCTAGCTATGAGTAGTGATAGGGTTTACGAAATGAAATGAAATGGGATTTAGTGTCCTACTGTTCTGCACTGACTGAGCTAATGCAGACGGGCATATGCCATACAGTGTGCTATGAAGGAGATTTTGCCCGGAGAGTGGCACTATGGCCTACTCTTATTTCGAATTATTCCAACTGTTCTTTTGCGTGTACGCCAATGTGTACATGGGTCTTCGGTTTTTTCTAGCATCCAAACAATTATACATTGTCCCTTGCCAGGCCCTCTGACCTGCACCACTGACAAGGGGTAACCATGCCGGAAAATCGGGATGGACTGGAAATCCAGGTTAGCGAGACAAAATGTCTTACTCATCTAGGCACTGCAACTCCGGTCAGGGTTTACGGCTTTTTTTTAATTCATCTAGAGCATCTAATACCACTTCTCTTTCATTATTTGAGACATTCACTCGGTGTAGAAATTCTGTTGTAACAAATCTAGTGCTTGTATAAAGATGAATTTGAATTGGCTGTGGCTGACATATAGCACTAAATTTAAAGCCTACAAATATTAAACAGTTATTTTTTTGTACAGTGAAAATAATCTTATGAATACTGGTAACCATGAAGAAAAGAAAATGGAACAGAAGAACATGTCACCCATGACTCAGCAGTCATTGAATGAATTCTCAGATGAGGCCCATATTATCAATGAAATTCAACACAAGCATAATGAGTTACCTCCCCTTGATACTGCCACCAATGGACAAGACCAGGACCAAAAGAAAGAAAAACACCGCAAGAAGAAGAAAACAAAACGAAAACATCGTCGAGAAAGAGATGGTTACGATAATTCAGGACTGGATGAGTCTGAAGTTGAAAATCAAATACCTAACCATAAGATAATGACGGTACAATCGGATAACATTATAACAGAAGAGACAAGCATGTGATCGCCATATATGGTAGTAGAATTTATTTAAAGATGCATTATGTAAAGATCTAAATCTTCCTATTGCAGGTTTTTCTTTTGGCTTCAAATGTTATATAAATTATTATTTACTGGTAGGAATTTCCGGCCATTTTTTAAGGTTTTGCAACTGTTTGGGCAAGGTAGGGTGGTTCCCGGGGGTTTAAAATTTTGACCCTCGAAATGACCATTCTGAGCTATTTTGAGAGAGAAGATCTCACTACTCATGAGAGAACATACCAATCATGCCCCTGCACATTGAAGATTCTAGCTTCACTGTGGGAGGGGGGGGGGCGCACAAATTTTCAGTACGGGGGCAGATGACCCTGAAATTTTGGCCTTAAAAAATGGCCAGAGACATTTATTTAAATGGCAAGCCTATAATCAACTATTTAATCCATTGGATGGCTGAGATTTAAATGGATTTAATTAAACATTCCTGAGATTTTAAAATCTAATAATAAAATGGACAATCAATGCTACGATAATAAACCTTCAAATAAAATTTATTCAAATGAAATTTTCATTTCATTATCTATTTTTAAACTATTATCCAGCTCTTTATCTAAATTTTACATAATGTATCTTTAAGTATTTTAGGTATTACCTTACTTTTCAGTGCTGTTACTTCAGTGCTGATCGATGTTAAAATGCTAATATTGATATTGATTGTGTTCCTTATCCAGGAATTTCTTTAAATCGTGCATTTCACAGAAAATCTTTGAAAATTTTCAAGGAAGTAGACCTTTCCTCACTTGACCCCCCCCCCCCCCTTCCAATCCCCCCCCACCCCAATCACTGGAAAATCCTGACACAACTGTTATTTTACATTTATTTTGTACAATGTTAACTTTCATTCAATCATATGATCACATACTTTCACATCTTTAAACTTTTTATATCAACTTATTTGCTATGGTTCCTATCAAAAACAATATATATTTTTGTTAAAGATTAGTCCTTTTTTTATATTATCTCTTGAAAATATTGTGAATCTTATAGTGCTGTATTCTGTTCTGTTGTGGTTTGTTATGAGTTATCCTTTAATTTATTCTTTATATTATGTTTTTTATATTATTTTATCACTCTAGACCAATGGTTCTCATCCTTTTTTTTTTGCCAATGGCACACCTTGGAACACCTGAAAATATAGCGGCACACCTGGCTAAATATATATACATGTATGAAAAATATATGAATTTTGCAAAATAAAAACATGGCATACAACCGTCATACTCAGGCCCGTAGCCAAGGGGGGGCCTGGGGGGGCGAAGCCCCCCCTGGAAATAATCTTGCCCCCCCTGACAAAAAGTTGTCGACCATATTTATAAATTACCTATGTATGATTTGAATATATTTCTTGAAAAACACTCAGAATAGTTCGTTCTTAGAACATATAATTGTCGATTTCTATGCTTAGAAACTTGTTTACAGCTATTCAGTTTACAAAATTTTCCGGTGGGAGACCCCCATACCCCCTGCTTGCTGGGGGGAGATACCCCCCCCCCCAGTACCCCCCCTATCGCCGGGGCTGCCCCCCCCCCCTGCGCCAGCAAGCTGGCTACGGGCCTGCAGACTAGTCATAGACATACATAATGACTCAAACTAAATAAAGAAAAACACAACTATAATCTTACTTTATTGCAGTCTTTTGAATTTCATCAGTTAAATAGCTGGCTTCTTTAGTGAGAAATTTTCAACACGTGCCCTTCAAAATTTCGCAGCACACTTAAGAAGATATTGCGGCACACAGGTGTGCTGCAGTACACTGGTTGAGAATCACTCCTCTAGACATATCAATGCTATAACTACTACGGTATATTCTTTAATTTATTATATCATATTATTTTATTATTCTAGACTTATACTTATTAGAATTAGATATTATTATTATTATTATTTTGCCATTCTTGACACATCACTTCTGTATTCTTTATTAGATATTATTATTATTTACGATTCTTAACTTATCACTACTACATTTTTTATTAGATATTATTATTATTTACCATTCTTGGCTTATCACTACTATATTCTTTAATAGATATTATTATTTTTTACCATTCTTGACTTATCACTACTATATTCTTTTTTAGATATTATTCTTATTTACCATTCTTGACTTGTTACTACTATGTTCTTTAATAGATATTATATTTTTTTTACCATTCTTGACTTGTCACTACTATATTCTTTACTATATATTATTATCATTACCATTCTATATTCTATAATTTATGTTACAATATATCATATTATTTTATCATTTTAGACTTATCACTTGTATATTCTTTAAATATATTTGATAACTTAATGTACATTTTTTATTAGATAATTTAATGTTTTTGTTAATTAGATAATTTAATGTACATTGTTTTTGTTTATTAGATAATTTAATGTACATTGTATTTGTTTGATAATTTAATGTACATTGTTTTTGTTTATTAGATAATTTCATGTGTATTGTTTTTGTTTATTAGATAATTTCATGTACATTGTTTTTGTCCATTAAATAATTTCAAGTACATTGTTTTTGTTTATTACATAATTTAATGTACATTGTGTTTGGTTTATTAGATAATTTGATGTACATTGTTTTGTTTATTAGATAAATTAATGTATATTGTTTTGGTTTATTACATAATTTAATGTACATTGTTTTTGATTATTATATAAATTAATGTACATTGTTTTTGCTCTAAGTTATTTTATGTCTATATACTATTAAAATGGCTATCACCAAAGTTGGTTGCTTTTGTCTTCCAGACAGCAATGTTGTTTTACTGTTTATAAAACTTATCTTATATCACTTTCTAGCATAATATACAATAAATGTAACCAATATAGTTATACTATTTATTTTTTTTTTAAATAATCAAAAACACATATCACCAGCTAGCCAAATATACAAAAAATGTATATGATTTTTTAAATATACAATAAATGTATACAATTTTCTTTACTGGTATCTTGTTTTAATTTACTTGACTTGAAGAAGAAGAAAAATGTATAAGTTCAATCAGTGAAAAGGAAAAAGGAAATTATGTAAGGTTTATTATTCTACGTTTCTGCTCCATCCATCAAGTCAGTGAAAAGGAAAGAAATGGTGTTCAACCCCAACATATACATAATTTTGTTTTAGAAAAATATATGGTTATTTTTTCTATGACTGTGTGTGCAATATTAGGTAGGAGAATTTTGCCCGAAAACAGCACTTTAGTGGACTTCACTTTGGTTGTCAGTCCAACAGATGCTACCTTGCTACCTGACGAGTGAGATATATTGTTAAGGCGATATTTGAACAGTAGGAAGTTATTTTATCTGGGATGAACATAGGACATGTTTAATTCTTATGCTTGTTACCCAGGAATATAGTGCAAAAGTTATTAATAGTCCTTCCCCTTTTTCCATACATGTTTTAACAGACTGTCACATGTTGCTCCATCTGTGGTATAAAGCCGGATTCCTTCCATAGCATGAATGACATTGCATAATGCCCACAGACACCCATCCACTCACTCTTAGGGCTGTAAATAGCTTATTTGCTTACTAGACACATACACTGACTTTAACTTCAAAATTTGCCATACATGTAATTTATTTAGATTTTCAAGATATTTTATCCAAATAAAATATCAAATTTCAGAATTATCCCAATTTCTATTCTAAAGTAAAAGTGTTTTAACTAATAACAGTATTAATTTAACTGTGTTTTAAGCTTTGTTGAAATTCTAATTTTATGGCATGTATATAAATTTTCGCCCTCAGTCAGTCTAGACTGGCAAATATGGCTGAAACAAGAGGTCTTCTGCCTCAAATATATAAACCTTTGGAGCCCTCACAGTTGTGGGGAGTGGGCGGGATGGCCTAGCCTAGTGATATAGTAATAAAATGAAATGGGGTTTAACATCCTACTGTTCTGCTCCGAACTGGGCTAATGAAGATGGGCATTCGTCATACAGTGTGCTATGAGAGAAATTTTGTCCGGACAGCGGCACTATGGCCTTCTCTTATATCAAATTCCAACTGTCAAGGGATCTTTTATGGCACCCAATGTGTAACGAGACCTCAGTTTTCCATTCCATCCAAACAACTAGACTGCTGTCCTTGTCAGACTCTCTGTCCTGCATCACTGACAAAGGGGAACCACCCCGGAAAATCTGGATGGACTTTCTCGGCCAATGCAGGGATCGAACACCCGACCTCCAGGCTAGTGAGCCGGCATCTTACCAAATTAGCCACCGTGACCAGTGTTGCACTTCAAGCTCTATCTGGTCGGTCTGCACCTTTGGCTTGCAGTTGTGGTTTCGATCCCTGGTGTGAGTATGTGGATGGAGAGAAGGGTGCTTTCTCAACCTCCTGAGTTTACTCTGGGTACTTCGGTTCCCTCCCTCAAGAAAGACCCCTTGTCTGCGAAATCACGCTCTGTGGAAGCGGAGGTTAAACACTAAGAAGTACAACTCACAGTTGTACTGAACCCAACTTCATCATTATCTGTCCGGTTTCAGGAAATTTTAACTAAGATAAAATCCAAATTTTAGTATTTTGATTGGATAATATTAGATTGATTTTAGTGCTTAACCAATCAAAATTTAAGTATCTACTAAAATATGGATTTTATCTTTAGTTAAGATTTCGAGAAACAGGGCCCTGGATCTTAATTATCTACCAGGGAACACAAAAAAAAAGAAAAAAAAAGACCCATTTTCTTGTTTCTAATAAAATCATTTTAATCACAAAGATGATCATTTTACACCATTGACAGATCACAGGCTTGGTAACTATATGAATAGATAATATTGTATACATGTGAGAATCTCTTTCATTGGTTAATTTCACTAAATATATAAACAAATTATTGTAACACAGAGTTTGATTGGGTACTTTACTGTGAATTTTTTTACAGTACATACGATTGATTGTTATTTAAAACTTAAAATCTGATTGGCTACCTCTACTTATTTTTGATTTAAAATCATTCTAGACTATTGTGTAAGTGTTGTTATTAGTATCATTACTATGGAATATTATATTTAAATAACAATATAGTATATTTTGTACATAGATATTTTTTTAACATATACTTTGATATATTCAGATTGTGGAAACAAAGCACATATTTGTGTATTTTTGTATTTAAAGAAACATTATAACAGCACTTTTAACAATCAATTTTTTTTTCTCAACTATTCATTTTTCACTACATAACATAAAGTTCAAAGGCTTCGGTCATATCAATGTCTAAAACTTTCCTTTTTATATTTCTAATTTAGGTTTTCTTTAGAATACCGAAAAGGTCCAAAGACAATTCACGCCTCTGAAACTTTCGTTTTAAAATGGATTAAGAATCCTAGATATAATGTTTCTTTAAAACTAATGTTGGTGAGTTGGTGTTCAATCATCCACACATTTAATGTACATAATATTGTGATACAATTTCCAATTTTTCAAAATCCCGAATCAAGAATCAAAGAACAATAATAGCACTTAAATATCTAACAGAAGAGATGTAGGTATGTATATAAAGAATAAGAAGAGTTTTGCATAAGTGCCACACTATTATATTTATTTATATTCATAATTATACTGTACAAAATGCAAATTAAGACCACACCAATTTAAATTTTTGTTCTATGGGGTGGTAGGGAGAGAGAGAGATGGGGTTTAATATCCATTCTACACAAACTAGGTCATATTGGGACTAACATACGGTTCAATTTTATTTCAATAATTTGCTTGCGCGAAAGGGTCTTTAGCAGTGGGAGGAAACCGGAGG